ACAATTCCTACAGAAATGTGTCCACGCCATGTTCTAACATTCCTTGGTTTGGTATTCAAACAGTGATTTAATATGAAATGTTTGATTCCACCGTTGAAGGTGAAAAAATATCGGAGACATATCAAACTCCCACCAAACAACGGTTTGCATGACCGACGCCCGGTCAGGGAGGCTGATGACGTCATTGGCATGAAGCCTTACTGCTAGACATTATCGAAAAATTTGAAATAGTCAAAAGGGCTTAGCATGACCAAGAATCCCAGAGGTCAGACAAAAATTAAGTTTTTTTTTATGACCTTTTCCATAGATGGTTGCCCCATGATGCATCGACTCTAAAGGCGATGTGTGCTATGACATAACTAATTTATCTATGTGACTATGCGCAGTGTGTTTGACTTAAAAACAGCAATGGAAAAGCGCCCAATAAAATGTGTCCAATTATCAGGGATAGGTCGGACGACTTCCTTCATAAGTGTTTCGGTGTTGTGTGATGCTGACATTTTAACCCTCGCCCGGCGAGGGGGGTTGATGCAACCCCCCTAAGGGTTTTCGCAAATAACGTAAGTGCCAAATTTGACATACCCTCTGGGGCAACATTTTCGCACCTTTCCTAAAAATTTGAAGTCCCAGTCTTTTCAGGTCAGGTCACCAGGTCACAAAACCCGGTACAAGGTCAGGGGAAAATTGGACTAGCTTAGAAAATCGGACTGGCAACTGAATTCCAGAGTTCACTAAAATTGGTAACAAAGTACCTATATCATTCGATGCGCAAGGACGTCCTGAGTTCACTGATGCTTTTATTTTTGCTCTATCTTTACTAGGTAAAAAGTTATAAGCGAAAAACTTTTGACATGTTTTAGCAATTTTTTTTTTGCACTTATACCCCCTAAAACCCCCCTAAATATTGACATAAAGTCACCAAACTTTCACAGGGGCGAGATCTCCTATGGACCTCACCCACCTACCCTGTAAATTTGGCGTTTCTAAGTGCCATAGGAGTCAATCGCGAGGGGGGGGGGTCGTACCAACCCCCCTCGCCGTCCGTGTTATGAAACAAGTCCTCGCCTGGCGAGGGTTAAGGTTAAAGGGTCAAGGGACTATCCTACCTGAAAAATGTTATAGAATTAGCTGAAAAGTGTTGTCCCTATACATTTGAGCGCATCATTGACGAGTACCTACCTATCAACAAATTTTCGCCCAATGATACCCGCTAGATTTCGAAAAAATCGTCTTTTTACAACTTTCGAGTCCATGATAACACTAAATCCGTGTTAAAGAGATGAGGTCCCAATGATGCGCACATTGCAACGAAGGAAAGCGATTTTCTCGAAAAACAAGTAGCTAAAAGTCAAAGTAATAGCACAGCTTGTATTTTCTCGAGTTCCACTTCAACTTGGTTATCTCAACTCAATTTTCATGTAAAGGTGGGACAGTCACATAAAACACAAATAGTGACCAGGAGACAATCAAAGCATGAATGTGTCAGAAATTCCTTTATGCATTGTCCTCCAAAACATTGCCTGACGTTACCCATGCATGCAAACTAACAGTGTTTCGCGGCGTGTGCACTGTCCGTGGCCTGATCAAGGAGTGTCAACGGGTATATCGATCACCGCGCCCGGCCGCGGGGCACGCGGTCCGTCTCAGTTTGTTATCGACGTGCCACGCTGAGTGCAGTTCAGCGGTCGGCTGACGGGCCGGCGCCCATTAGCGCGGCTCGCGGTGACCAGTCGACACATCTTCAGTGTTCGTGGCGCCGCGCGGCACGCTCCCAATGTGGCACGAAAACAAACACGGTGGCACGGCCGAACGTCCTGCAGACGAGCGCCGCGGCACCAGCGGTCGGTGGCGTGACGGGTGTGGCTGTTAGCGCTGCCGGACAGTCGGCTATGATAACGAAAGGCGGCACTTGTTTGTTACAGCTTACAACTAGCTGAAACATTAGTGCGATAAATTTTGATTCGTTTATTTCCATTAGGAATGTGGTTACGAAACGACATTGATATGCAATGTATGCGCACCAGCGGAACATAATTTATTCTGCGGTGACTAAATCGATGCTGTCCCATGTTTGATCTCTTTTTTCTTTGGCCGGTGTCTCGAAGAACTGCAACGATTTGTACCTAAACGCAGCTCCTCACTCATGGAAGGAAGACATGAGGCATCCATTACGGTGGTCTGTGCCGCTCTGGTCACTGCGCCGTCTCTGTAGGTCTAGCAGCGACAGCGACAACTCGAGTTGAGGGTCGCGGCGGTACAATTATGAGTCGGCCAGCGACACCGACGCAACGCACGCGACCACGAGCCGACATGCCACCGGAGCGGTACCTAAACGAGCCACCGAGCGGCGCGGTGCGACATCGCGCGGCCGCCACAGTTGGCAGTTTGTGGTGGACAGGTATTCCGGCGAGTCAGCGGACCGACAACGTGCGAGGGAACGAACGAGCCACTTGACACCGCTCAAACCAGTGATTTCTGTGACATGGTGTTAGGTTTCATGGTCTGACACCTTCAAAAAGACCGCAATTTATCGCATGAATACACCAGTCCCAGCTTTCAGTATTGGCCATGTATAGTAGGGGAAGTTGGGGGAACGCCGAATACTTTTTTTCTGACGCCCGTAGCACGCAAGGTAGACAACATAAGCTATTCTTGTTGGCGTCATTCGAGAGGCCAGTCTTTTGTCTTTCAAACATACCAGGCGCATTTGATGAATTCGCATACCGTTAAGCGCAAAAACTAAAAATATCAAAGAACTGACTTTTTCGGCGTTGCCCCGGACTGCGGGGAAAGCCGAAAATGGGATAAATGATCTACGAGGAATGCAGACATTGATGTTTTGCCAATTTATCTCAAACTTTATCCAAAATTCATCAAAGCTGACACGCGTTTTAAGAGCTTGAGGACGCTTGGTGCACACTGGAAGTTATAATTGTGTGATATAATAAAAAAAATGCTGGGTAAATCATTCCTTATAGGTAACAGGCCGTTGTGCCGGCTGAAAGTGTAATTTCATGGTGTGTCAAAAGTGGAAATAGCCGCCCGGCTTTAGTTCGCCAGCCTTGTCAATAGATGGCAGTACCACAATATGGGCAGCGGATCGTGCAATTGACGTCAAATTTTCGTTATCTGCTAAGAATTGAATGGCGGATCTTTTCATGCAAGAATCAAGTAAATCGGTCCACAACTTTTCTAGCAACAGAGATATGAAGTCAAACACCCTGCCAGAGCGGCGGCGCGGCGGCCGGCGGCAGCCGTTACGCGCCGCCTGGGAGGCTGGCGGCGCTGAACGGTTCCGATTGGCACTGCACTAAAACCTGTTAACTGCTTGGAATAGTTATTATAGCAAAATTTTCATTCAAATGAGAAATAACCAAGGGCAGGAAGTATGCATGCTTGTGTGCGTACTATGTAAGCCAAGAAACTGCATTAGCAGATACTCGCTAATATTAGATCCAGCCAAGTCCAAACGCATTCCAGGTGATGTGTTTCTGATGGGTCAACAATATGTATCGTTCGAGGGCGGATACAGTTTTAACAATACAAAAAATATTTTTGCACAGCTCTATTCCTTGAATAATTCTCTTCAACGCCTCATTCCTAGTTAAGCGAATTAGCCCACCCTGGTTGAATAAATAAGGCGATTTCGCCACAAGGTCGGGGAAAACCGACCGAAAATGGCCGCGCTCAACGTTAATTTGGGCATGCAGACTCTTAAAAACTCGCATTGGGCGGGCAGGGTTTCCCAGGTATTGGCTCGAAAACATCGTATTCGGCTCCCGAATACGTCCAAGTGACCCGCCTCGTTCCTAGTTAAGCTCTAATTAGATCAAGTGACTCATAGGGAGCGATAAAGCGACAAAAAGCATGAATTTCCCTATGGCGGCGGGCTGCCGGGTTGCCAGACGGCGCACCGGCTATTTCCACTTTTGACACACCATGGTTTGACTAAAAATACGCGTTGCTATTCTACAGCAGCAAAGTCCACGTAGCGTGCTTTAACGTGCGTAATTGCACGTTTTCGGCATTACCCCAGCCAGCCATACTTTCATTTGCAGGCCCATAACTTTTAAACGTGCTGTATAAATTTCAAATAGGCAGCACACTTATGCAAAGACATGCTGAAGATTACTTGACCGAATTGGCCAGACAAACGGTAGCATAATGAGTAAGAAATGCAGCTTCAAAGGCGCATGTAGTACAAGGGAAACGTACCTTGAAAACGCTTTTGGCGCCCTCACAGCCGAAGTATTCCAAATGACAACTCGTAACAAACATGCGATAATTGTAGACTTAAGCTTCAGAGCATCACTGAGACGTGGCATCCATGTCGTACGGTTTTAGAAATATCTCGAATTTCGGCTTTGCCCCAACTCCGGCATTGCCCCAACTTCCCCTATTGTACTCGTAGTTATTTCTTCGACTATCTTTTTGCATTTGTTGTAGAAAGTTAAACGATCGTGTGGTAATCCTAACATGTAGATAGTGCTTGCAATTTATTTTATGGAAGCCAATCAAATTAGATGCGTAGGTAATGTGCGTCTCTGATGTGCTCCTTTGATCTAAAAGATAAATGGCATAGTCGCAATGATTGTGCTTTTGCAGGCGCAGCTATTTCAAATTAAGCCCCGTTTCATTAAAATGCCGATTGCCGCTAATGCACTTCAACATTCCAAATATTTTGCATTCTCAACATGATGTGTGATTTCTTTGGGCATTTGTCATGAGGCGGGACGTTGAAATTAATTGCCGGAATTCATGAGCCCCTCCCTAACCCCACCCCAGCTCATCTAGGTCCAACCTCACGATCAACAAAGCCGGGCAGCATGCGCCGGACGTGGCTGAACTCGATCAGACACTCGTCAACGCAGGTATACCGATTGGACGCTCACGAGACAGGGGCTTACGCTGCAGGTGAACATAAAACACAGACTGTCACAGACCGAAGGTGGGGCTTCATTGAATACGGCTGAGCCGGCGGTCACGGAGGTGACACTTACCGCACCATCCGAGCAGCAGCAGGGCGGTCACGGCGCAGACGGCCACTCGGAGAGGAGTCTCCGCCATACTGGATACTCTGTCACACCGCGTCACAACGTGTCACAGTGCGTCACGCGTCAGTCACGGCGCCGAGCGAGCTCGCGGAGAAGTGCGGACGGACGGGCGAGTTCCGACGTCGTGTGCGACTGGTTCAGCGCCCGGCCGCGGTCGGCTAAAGGACTGCACGTGCCGTCACCAGCGGAGGTCCGGCGACCGTCAGCGTACTGGACTGGCGGCCTCGCAAGGCTGCCTGGGACCCAACTCGGCCTCCAATGGATCTCCGGGGACAGATGTAGTCGGCACGTGCCGAGAGCGGCGCAGAGGTCTGGTGATGTTACCCGTGACGGCTACCGTGACGCGACTGGGAGCGCTGCGTAACGTGACCCACCGGCGCCGCCGCCCGCCGCGCACTGTGCATGCGTCGAGCAACGAGCCACCGCGGGGGCTGGGCGGACCGGGCGGGCGGCCGCCCCGCCCCCGCCGCCGCCGACGGGGCCGACTGTTTGCCAGCAGCGTGAATCGTCGACGTCGACGGACGTTGCAGGGGGAGAGAGGGGGGTCGGTGACGCACAGAGGGGAGGGGTAAGGCGACTCACCGCAGAACGTCACCGGCTCGGTCGCAGAAAATCGGCGCGGCTTATCAGCACCGGCAGCGGCCGGGCTAATCGCCCACCGAGTGTCGCGTCGCCGGGATTGTTTTTATATGGTCGCGAGGCAGTCACACACTTGATGCTGGAATTGGATGATGCCACTGCACACCCGGACATGCCTAACCTCAGACCGTAACTGTGCTGCAAGCTTTGACCGCATGACCTCTGGCGTGGGAATTCCAAATTTCTTGCCGAGAAGGAAATGAGATTCATTATATGGCGTGCAAAGCGTGTCCATATTCACACTATATTGCAGTCTGTAAAAAACAATGCGGTAGGTAGTACCCTGCGTTTCAATTAACGCGGGTTTCCCTGGAAATTTGCACACGGCGGATCCAATTAGGGAATGCCAAATAGGTGCAGTTCACTCAAGATCATGATGATAACAGGTCATAGGCCTTCAGTGTGCAAAAGAAGATAACAGTGCTACCGAAAAGAAGTGTGCAGGAGGTGTCGGGAAGGCCACGTTAGCGACAGCTCGCTCCTGCAAACGACTCCGCAAACGACCACCGCCGGCTGTCATCAGTCACTCACACTAATCGGTGTCACCCAGTGTCACTCGGTGTCACTCAGTCGTGTCACCCGGTGTCAGTCGCGACATTTAGTGTGAGGCCAGTCGGTGGGGTGCCGCAGCTACTCATGCTCTGTTGGCAGTCTGTCAGAGGTGACATTAATGCTTATAATGTTATCTGTTATGTAGATACTGCCCGCAGGTCAATGAAAATTGCTCAGAATAGCGAACGATTGGGCAAATAACTATGTGATGTTCAATAAAAAGAAACACAGGGTTACGCTACATCTGGACTCAACGTTACATCTGAACTCAATCCACACCGACACCATTTTATCATGCACATTCATAGGGGGCTTCTGACAGTGTTTCAGTTTCAGTGCACACTGTATAAGAGCTCAATGGTGTTGCAACTCCTAACATGACAGAATTTCATTAGGTATTTGTCTTTTATCAAGTCATTTAGTTTTCAACGCTCTCTTGCTGCTTGTGCGGACGCCACTGTTCACTCGTAAAATATATATCATCAGTACCTACCTACCTAATCCGTACAATGCGATGCAAGTAATTTTTGCTATAGGGCTATCGCTAGCACGCATACCACATTGCACGTCTGTCATGTGGCGCGCGCTCAATGTCATCGACAGGCGACTGTCAGTGTAAGCGTCACGCACCTTTTGATGTTCCTGTCAGTGGCATGTCCCGCGTCCTTGAGGGACTGTCGTCAGCACAGGCGATGCTGCTGGGAGATAGCCGTCTACTGCTGCCGATTGCCGCTCAACACGCAAATAAATCACGTCTTCCGACGGTGTCAGTGTGCGCTCATCTGGTATTTGATCTGAGGACGGCGACGGACGGCTGCAGCTCCGGATGTGGGGTGACGTAGTAAGGATCAACCATCGCTCTTCCATGCACACTGCAATGACAGCTTGCTTGAGATTGTAGAACAAATAGGAGGAACGTCTCAAATATGCACAGATAATGCACGTTTTTTGTTTTTGAATAACAAGATGTATCAACAGGGAATCAATAGCAATACGAATAACAACCATTTTTTAATAACAATATTTATCAACAGAGATCATGCACGTTTATTCGTTTGCCAAATTAATGTGCATATTTTCGTTAGTTTCAGCACCTTGTACGATCATGCATTTTCCTGATAAAATTTTGACTTTATCTCATCATGTCATCATTCACCACGATGACCACTGCCCATCATTTGTCAACTGCCTGAGGTCTGTGAATCTGAAACTGGCGTCATTTCATCATCTTCTTCACCTCTGCTTATCTCCGCTGTCTCCGTCAGTCTCGCCGTTTCCGCTGTCTCCCTCGTCTTCTTCATTCGTCTTATCCGTCTCCTCAGTTTCCGTGATCGTCTCAGTGCCCGTCTCCTCCATATCCACGTCGTCTTCGTGAATATATCTACCGTCTCCTCCGCTTGTCTGTGACCGTCTCTGACCGTCTCCCTGTCTCATCCATCTCCCCTACCCGTCTCCGTTCATATCCACCGTCTCCTCCGTTTGTCTCTGACCGTCTGCCCCTTTTCTGCCTGTCTCCTCGGCCCAACCCCGTCTCCACCCGTCCCCGCTCGTCTTTGCCCGTCTTCACGTCCCCGTCTCTCTCCGTCCTCGTCTCCGATCGTCCCCGTAGCCACCTGTCTCCGTCTATGCTCGTCTCCTCCGCCCGTCCCCAGCTCTGCCCGTCTACTCCACCCGTTTCCTCTGATCGTGTCTGCCAATATCTGCCGGCCTCCGTCTCCGCACCCGTCTGTCCGTCTCCTCCGTCGTCTCTGCCCGTCTCCTCCGCTCGTCTCCGCCAGTCTCCTCCGCCGCGCGGCGGACGGCGGACGGCCGCAGGCGCAGCGAGCCAGTCGTTGACCCCGCGGACCGCGGCGGCCGCCGCTGCTCACGGCCTGACGCCAGCACCAGGCCAGGTGACTGAGGCGAGAGCGCGAGAGGTGTGAGCGAAACAGGAGCAGTCCTTGTTACCGCTGACCAGGTCAGGTCAGTGGTGGTGTCAGTGGTGTCAGTGGTACGGTGGTGATGGTGCGGCGGTGGTGTCCGCACAGGAGACAGGCTGTGGCGTTTTTCCTTGCGGCGTTCTCGCTTCTCTCGCTGTTGTTTCCGCCACGTGATCAGCGCAGCGTGAACGATGGTCACAGCCGTCACAGGTGAGTGGCATATGCGACTCGACAGCAGAACGTTATCTTCGGGTTTTATTATCATGGGAAGGTAACATCATTTCTTTTCCAACCCGATAACTGATAAAGCACTGAGCAATTAAAATATATTTTCATATAAAAATTGAAACTGTCAATAGAATACGATCAAAACTTGAGCGCACTAGGCCTCTGTCCTGCAGACAGCGCAAATTACGAATGTCACTTATGTAACTGAATCTGTCATAAACCGTCTTCTTTCTGTCAATTCAAATATACATTCTTCTGAAATGTTACTAAGGATTAAACGTAAATAAAAATCTGTTAAGCACCTGTACATAAGTTAAAGTTCAGTCAGTCAATCAATTACATTGCCGTGGGCGTGGCAGTCATTAAGAGCCGGACACGACCCGTCCCGCTCACTGGCCCCATATTACCTGAAACGCGACCACCGCCACTGACCGCAACCTATTCCCGGAAGAAGCAGTTTAGCGGGTGTCGAAGCGGTTCGAACCAGGCCGTAACCACAAAGCAGCTCGGCTGAACAGGACAAGGCCGCTCTCCATTTTGAGCCAATATTGGGGAGGGGTCGTATTGCTGGTTATCCAAAGCGTTCCGTACAATCTTTTTACACATAGACGCTAGGTAATTTATTTGTGCTCTGAAAGACGCTAGTAAGGGCCCGTCCGTCTTTAATCTGCTGCTTGTGCTGTGAGGTCATTTTTTAATAAAGCACATTAATGGGGAACCTATACCTACGTATTCCCAAAAAGGCGCCAGAAACGTGGATCACGTCTGTATGTATGATTCTGTATGTATAGGTCAATTCAGGGAGGAATATCAGTAAAAACGCAAACCATCGTCAACGGGGAGTGTGTTTGGGTATGCGTCATCTTCAGCCCCAGTCTCCCTGCTCACTCAGCCCTGTTCACCTCGCCAGGAGTGGGAGCTCGGTGTGCCGGCCGGACATGGAGGTGACCCGCCTGCCGCCCATGCCGGACGACGATAACGTCCTGCTGCACGCCCTGTTCCGGTACCTGACCGAACCGAGCCGGGCCGCCTGCGACAGGGTGCTGCGCTTCGGCGGCATGTCGGTGAGTGTGCTGACTTTCCCATACCTGCTACATTGCATGATTAAATCGAGACATCCAGGCATTTTAATGGCACGTGCACTGTACCACACTTTTCAAAGTTTAATGCAGTGCTTTAATATTGCCAGCCGTGTGGTTCAAGGGGTGTGGTTAAACGCGTTGAACCACACGGCTGCTGACGTCACTATCAATTATAGTTGTGAGCTTTTTGGCAGGTATGGGAAACACCTTCCAGCCCTAAGGCCGGGAATTCAATAAATGTCACCTCGCTTTTTTAGCGAAAAGCACCTCGGGCCTAACGGCCCTCGGAGTTTTCGCTAAAAAACCTCGGTGACATTTATTGAATCATCCCGGCCCCGGGCAGGAATATATTGAGCTGACTGATTGGGATGACTGAGCGGACTGACGTGGTTTGACTCAAACCACTCAAACCACGACTCAAATCACTGAAACCGTTTGAGTGATCAGACTGATGTGAGCTGACTGGCCGTCGATGTATAATGTGTATGATTGGCCGCAGTTCGCACTTACGTCTGTACTTCTGGTCGGACTGCTTAGTGCTGGAGTCATATGACTGATAGACCTGACTGTCCGATCTGATGAAGGCTGACGGAACGGGACGATGTGATCTGAGAATCCGTCATGCCCTCTCAAATAGACTCCGCTGCCTCCTGTGACGCCCCTGTTCTTCTCCCTCAGCACCTTGACAATCTGAAGTCCCTGCGGCTGGACGGCCACAAGTACGTGTGCGCGGACGCCGAGTTCACACTGCTCTCCTCCACCTCCTGTCTGGTCTACTCGTTCGGCATCAGTGAAGACTGGTCCTTCGACTTCGACATGGAGTCATTCGGCTGCACAGTGCACGCCTTCGACCCGACCACTAACGACACGGCGGGCTACCAGAACGGCTCTATCTTCTTCCACAAGCACGGCATCGGCGGCTGGGACGGACAGGTGGACGGCATGGCCGTGCGCTCGCTGGACTCGATCGCGCAGAGACTGGGACATGCAGCGCGCACGGTGCACTACCTGAAGCTGGATGTGGAGGGCTCCGAATGGGCTGTGTTTGAGCAGCAGGTGCGCGGCGGCGAGCAGTCCACCCTGTTCAGAAACGTGGAGCAGCTGGGAGCCGAGCTGCACTTCACCTGGCATCTACCGGTTACGTTTCACCGCGAGTTCTACCGGCGAGTGTATCGCGCATTGCTTGGCTTGCAGGCGATGGGATTCTACCCGTTCGCGCACGAGTGGAACTGGTCCTCGCAGGAGATGGAGGTGCCAGGATTTGAACACAAGCTGCCCAGTGCCATGGAGGTAGCCTGGGTGAAGTCGAGGTGCGCGCCGGAGTCGGCGCGATGGAGGACAAAATGAGGCAATCGCAATGTGTGATTAGATAAGAGAGTCGCGAAAGAAATGTGTGATATGATAACCGCGGTGCATTTTGGTGAGTGAGGGTGACGAGGTTGTGCCATTGGAGTGTTGAACATTCATAGGGATAGGTGTTCCATGAATTGGAATGTCTCCGAGAACTTGACAATTCGCCGATTTTTACCTTGTTCTCGCATATCTGTTGCCTATCATTTTAATGCGTTGCCATTGTCATGTCGCGGTATGAGTAGCTATGTCTTGAAGAACGGGCTAATGAATGTGATGACATACAGCTGGTTGCGAGCTGGTTGGATGTGTAGTGTTCATTATGAATCTTGTAATGTAAATATACATGCTTGTGAACATTATTTAAACTGCTCGTGGTTAGGTAATAGGTTGATGTATTCTAAGTATGGCCTGTGAAAAGCAAGGGTTGCGGACAACAATCCCTACCTACCCCACGTAGGTAAGTACCTTCTTATCGCTAATGTCCGTACGGAGACACAATTACAAAAGTATAGGCTGTAGGCTATGTTGAGCCATTATGCTTTTTTTGGGGTGGCTCACCGGACTGTCGAGCAAAGTATATATAAATTGTATTACCTCCGTTCGTTTATTTTACATTCTCAGCCTGAATTCAGTCGGTAGACGCCCATCGCTAGCAGCGATACTTGCGTCATCTACAATGTTGATTGTTGAGTTCACTGCGTTGTGCAGATGACGCCACAAGCAGTTGTGAGTAGAGCAATGAGGGAATATATGTATAGGTGCTGGACAACTACACCGGCCCTTCTCTGACTGGTCCAGGAGACCACTGACCTTATGAAACGATATCGTGAATATCGTGAATTACCAATTCACAAACTGCGATCTGGTATTCAGATTAGTGCAATGTAGGCATGTGTTTCACAAAGTTCGGCAGTCAGCGACCAATCCCGTTACAACGCACTTTACATGGCACAGACGGAAGAACAACGATGCAATTTTTTGATTGGTCTACCTGTAGCTCCAGTTGCTGTAAATTCATATTCTTATAATCTATTCCGTTCTGTTTAGGCAATAAACATAGGTATTAGGTAGGTATGGTGTATACTCAGTTCACTCTAGTGGCATGGGTGTAGTTGCGCACTCAGTAGGTACAAGACCCAACGACTTCAGTTTTTTTTTCCAAGATTAGGGGAGTGGGACGTATGCATGTGATCATAACTACGACAAACTAAAATGCAGCGCACTGCGCAGTGTGCAGCTGTTTACCGCTACATGCTCATCCAGTCCCTTATGTTACGTTGTTGAAGACGCCGTCACCCGTCGTCACCCAGTATCTGGCGTCACGTCCCCGTCACTCGTGGTCGGTAAGTGCACACGGACGTCTGCCATCCCTTGGTGACGGGTCACTTGACAGGTCACGATTACCTGGCCGTGCACAGACCGAGTGGGCCGCACAGCTCGTCCTGATTGGCCATTACCGCCGTGCCGCCCACCACTTAGTGGTTGAATAATGAAAACGGGGCGCGCTATCGGAGGCTAAGTACGGGCCATCATTGCGGTCGTTAGTGAAGCCGATCATTGAACGTTTGGAGCCATCCGATAGCTCCTTCAACAGAGCAGCGACAGTTGTGCAGTGAGCGGCAACGGTGAGCAGGGAGACGAAACAAGTGAGAGCTAGCCTGTTTGTCATGGATCTTCCTTTGAACTAAAAAGTGTGAGCATAACTTATGCCTAAAATGTCTTAGAGTTAGCGTAACATTTTCTTCCCATCCATTCTTCAATATAGTTCGTTTTTTGATATTTTCCCAGCGGGATAACCAATGTCCAATACTGCACAAATCAAAGTCACCGAGCTATTTGTTCAACCGTCATTGGTATGTTCAAGGCTCGAAAGTTCCCCATACAAATTGAAACCTGTAAAGCCAAATGATTTGTCCGGTGTCCCCCATGATGCCAAGTAATTTATGAAGTCTAAAAAGCCATTACTCATGTCTACTTTTTCAGTTGGTGCGGAAGTAAAGACATCAATTCATTGGGCTACAGCACGTGTCTCGCTATAGGCGATGTCGGTGAAGCCGCTAAAAGCCGTCGCCACTCTCCTGAACCGCGATATTCCACTGCTGAGCGATGAAGACTCCCGGCTCAGAACCGTGTCAGGATCCCTCGAGGACCCCTCTGTGCCGGGTCCAGGACCTAGACGGGGTCCAGGGCCCACCCGGGGCCCGGGGCCCACCGGAGGTTCGCGGCTCCCTCGAGACCAGTCACCAGTGCAGCTCGTGGTGTCCAGAGGATCTCGATTACGTAGTGGTCAGAGAAGGACCCCTGCAGCCGCCGGGGACAGCGAGGGTCGGCAGCACGGTGGAAAAGGAGAGGAGGCGGAACAGACAACACTGCCCGAGAAACGTGAGCTATGATTGATTGTGGCAATGAGCGTAGTTAATTATGTTGTATGAAAGTGTAAAACCCGACAGGTAAAAACTTAAAGCCTCGGATATTAGGGAAAGTCAAAGGATTAGATAGTTGTACTCATGATGACTGACAAATGCAACTTACGAGGCTGCATTTCATCTCTGGCAATACCCTTAATGTCCATCGTTTTACGTACATAGCAGCGGTTTTTCCGTACGGGAAGTAAACGACTACGTTGCCGAGTTCGTACCACATTTTTCCGATATGTAAAACTAGTTTTGCCGAGAAACATTGAAAAGAGAAATCACACATTATCCCGCGCCCTGGTGGGGTCTGTTTATAACGCGACCTGGTGGGGGGGGGGCTATTTTTTGCCCCCCCCCCCCCTCGTATCTCCGAAACTTACTACTGGACGGATCCGCAAAATTCAAACGGCGTTCGAAAGGCCTGTCAAATTTGTCGAAGGAAACCAAATTTCATTGACCTCGGGGTCACCGATGACGTCACAGGTCAGGTCAAAGATGAAATGTTTCACCGTTCACGGGTCTTCTAGGGAATGCGCTATAACACCGAGGAAAACGCATTTTGTCGAGAATCAGCGATAGGGCGTCAGTTGCCTAGTAGATATGTTGCTATTAGAGGTCACTGACAATACCAGGTCAGGTCACAGGTCAGGTCACCAAGGGTCACAGGTCAGGTCACATGAGCCCAACTTTACTAAGGTTGTGTGATGCATGTTTTATGGCCAATTTTTCATTTCCAACTCAATGGTGTTGGTTATAAGACTATCAGGTACGGCTTAGGTCACCTTCTGGTGAAGTTCAGGTCAAGGTCAGGTCAAGGTCAGGCCAAAAAAGGTCAAATTTTAAAGTTGATAGTTTTGCATAAACTGGGTATTGATTCGATGCAGCTCGTCACGGGGAGTCTAATGGTGGTCTTTGTTTTGCGCTACGGGGTCTAGAATTGCTAAAAATTGAGTTTGAAAATTTGACGTCATCAATTTTGAGCAGTTTTTTCGCTATAACTTCGCCAAAAAAAGAGGTATCAATCTCAAATTTGGTATGTGGATGGAAGGCGGTAAGGACTATCACATATATTCCGGTTTTTGCGAAATTCAAGAAACTTTTTGGATATTTCGATTATTATATCTAAAAAAATTATTTTTTGATTTTTGGGGGTCGAAATCCAAAAATTTCAAAAATCCGAGATAGCAGTTTTGTAGCCCTGTTGATTTTACACCTTTTATGTCTTTATCATTTTTCTGTATTTGCAAAGCTATAGGCCTGACAGCTCTTCCCGCGAAACCCTTTTTTGGGTCGAAAACGGCAGAACATGACGTCACTCTGACGTCATTTCCGGCCAACCTATCATAGCCTTTGGAAAAATTTTTGGTCACAATGTGTAAAATTGATGTCCGGGAGGGTACTGAAAGTTTGGTGACGATCGGCGCAGCGGTTCTGGAGATATATCGAAAAGTCTGGAGGGGGGCAAAAAATAGCCCCCCCACCAGGTCGCGGGTTATATCTATGCATTTATAAATGGCTAGCGACAGTCTGCAAAGTGCAAACAATCTGTGGATTTTTCAGTTCCTTCGGTGCCGAAGAAGCAAACATGGACATCAAGAACCTCCTTCAGATGGTCTCTTACAACTTTACTCGGTATGAAGCAGTGGAAGTCCAAAACAAAACAGATCGGCCAAACAAAAAACGATATCGAAATCGAGGATGTGTCTGACGGTAAGTGTGATACAGCGTTCATGATCACTAACACATGTAGGTAACGTTTCTGACTTGTGTCAGTGTCTTTGAGTGTTGATCACGCAATAACGTCCGTCGTGGAAACACCAAAGAAAACTGTAATTACGAAAGAATGAGCTGGAAAGAATTCAGACTAAACGGTCAATGACTAAAATAGACGAAAGTTGATAGCTAATCATAAGGTTGATTGCAACATTCTATTACTCTTCCTTTCAATTTGCATTTGATAAGAATCAATGTATCAATTTGCACCAATTTAAATTTGTAAAAATTTTGTTCCACGCTGCAGCGGAGAGTGATCTGAGCCGCGACTGGACGCCGCCGCCGCTGCAGCGGGTCCTGTACCACGACCCGACCCCGCCTGAGGCGCTGCCGGACGGGTCAGCCCCGGAGGACGGGCCGCTCTCTGAACCGTCCGGCCTGCCATGCTGGGAGGCGCTGAGACCGCAGAGTGAGGCGGGAGGTGGGAGAGAGGGGCTGGGTGGCAAAAGAAAATGACGACATGGAATGTCTTTTCATTGAGCTGCTGATTCTAGCTTCCATTCCAACTAGATCTGCATGAATTGAAGGCGTAATCTCAATAACATTTTTATCAAAAGTCTAACCGTTTCAGCCAATCCAGTCCACCTTCAATATATGCCTAAAAAAAAGAAATGGGTATAGGTAGGCACCTACAGCTGAGTATGATACAACCATTCCAGCTCCTTCCCTTAGGTGTGTGCGTGTGCCTTTGCCACAGGTGGGTGGTACATCGGCTGGCTACTGGTGGTCGTACTGGTGTTTCTGTATAACTGCTGGATGGTGCCCTACAGGGCCTTCTTCTTCTACGGCAGACAAGGTCAGCGCACAGACCAACGCCAACCTACACCCAATGACCGCTGGCCAAGCTTATTGAGATTTGAAGGAAAAGGGTCACCTTTAACATGGGGTTTGAAACTGAGATGGCCATCTTGTAGCCCGTGTCCGAAAACCCCGAGAGTGTCCAACCTTACGGCCGATTTCGGCCTCCATTTGTAGGTATCGGCAATTTTAAAAGAAAATATGCCGGGAATGCGTCCTTATCCCAGGAATGCGTTCTTATCCTGTAATACAGCCACCCGCGGCGAGGCCAGGCTTTGGTTTTTAACCAATCAGCTCCAATCAGCTCAGCTTTAACCAATCAGCTAATCTGACACAAGCCGACGAGACTGTCTTCTGAAGGCTGATTGGCTTGAGTGTGATGTCATCGCTATGACATCATACAGAAGGTGCGGTAGAGAGTACAAACATAGTACCAATATGTTAAATAGTTTGACATACTTTTTTGCGAATTATGCACTTCTGGTACCAGATTTAAAAAGAACATGAAAAATAATAATGTCAAAATGAAAAGCAACGATATCTTCATATTTCACGAAGGTGGCACTTTTCCTTTAAGAGAAAACGGACATGACGTGCATGCGTTTATCACGAACATTATCTTTTCTTACACAAATAATATTTTATAGCGTTTAATAAAGGTAAACAGTAGCGGCGGAACACCCTCAATTAAGGGGGGCACTGCCGACTTTTGGTCCCATTCTTTCCATGCAACGGGCCATAGGGCTAATGTTAAAATGCCAAAATCAAAGGGGGGCACGGTGCCCCGGTGCCCTCCCCGTTCGGCGCCGCCTATGAAGGTAAAATGCAAAATGGGACAGAAACTGTCCGGCATTTTTGTTTTAGATTTCAAGCTGTACAACTGTTCTGCCGTTTTCAAGGAAAGATGTAGGACCTGTAGGACAAATAACCGTTGATCCACTTCCCGAACCGCCCGGGGGCTCAGCTCGATTAATATTTCCGACAACTTCTTTTTCTTCACCGTGTAACTCATGAGTCATGCATAAACCACCTCCTTCTTGGCTCGTTTTTCCACTATTGGCGATCGCGCAAAAAGTGTCTAAAACCCCGTTGACTTAACATGGGGAAAATGGAATCGCACGTGCCACGCGCAAAATAATTCTAAGCGAGTAGCGACCGATGCCATCAGGTAGATCGCCTCCGGGAGCCCATACCCTGAACTTTTTACGAAGATTGAACGATTCGTCTAGGCCCCGCTCAAGTTGCCCCAATTCGCGGCCAGCCATGCAAAACATAGCCCGGAGAAGGACCGCTCCGGTTGTTTTTCAATAGAAAAACACAATTCTAACGAATAGTGTTTGTCTTTTCAAACAACCTGCGGTTATCATCAATGTCAATGCAATAGTGCAATAAATTGTATTATACATCACATTTCCGTCAGAGTTCTACTGGCCGTGGCAGTTGGGCGACTACCTCGGTGACGTCATCAATCTGGTGGACGTGCTCTGTATGAAGCCGCGGCTGGCATTCGTCAGTACCGTGGACGGTACCTGGGTGACGTCACGAAGGCAAACCATCCGCCACTACGTCGGAACGACAATGTTCTGGGTAAATGTGGGATAGGGAATGGTTAACAGGCCAACAAAGGGCGTGAGTGAGTGCTCTGAAGACGGAAAAAGGTCTGCAGTGGTAATATGGGTCGATGAGACAGAATATGGTCAAGGATGGGTTGTCAAGATGCATGATGCATGTAAAAAGGTCAATCAATACCCACTATCAATATTGAAACGTCTGCTGTCGTTTTTGTTCGCAGATGGACATTATAGCTGTAATACCTCTGGATATACTTTACGCTATTTACGGCCCAAACTCATTCTGTCGAGTAAACCGAATGGTAAAGGTAAGTTGACCCAGTGATTCAAGCTCTTTCAAATCAAAATTTGGAGGTAGGAGTTACAGCTTACAATGAATATGTGTTCTCGACGCGTGTCATTTCGAAAGGTCAGAATGCCTATTATGATTGCAAGCTTTAAGTGCAAGTATGCATGAAGCGTTAATAAATTGCCACTGGAAATTCTTATCCTTTCCTCTTTGTTGCGTTTCAAAAGATTCGGTATTTCATATCGGCAGATACACACGTACTGGGAGTTTTTCGGCCGACTGACGGCGGTGGCGGCGTTCCCCAACGTCACCCGAGTGGCCCGCACCCTGTTCTACATGTTCTTCCTCATCCACATCAACAGCTGCGCCTACTACATGGCCAGTCTGCTGCAGGGCTTCGGCTCCAACACCTGGGTGTACAACAACGTCGGCAACGCGTGAGCTTATTGATAGTCGGCCGCGTATATCAGCAATTGATACAGCTTGTTGTTGCTATTCTGTGGCTGTCGTATACAAAGTCTAGCGAGCAAAACAAAGCCGAAACAAATGCAAATAAGTACATTATGTAAATCGAAAAGGAACCTGCAGAGTGAACGATATGCTGACACGTTAAAAGTTTAAAATCAACATTGACCGACGAAAGTAATGACTGCTCTGCTTGCCCCTACAGGTACGCGCGGTGCGTGTTTTTCGCCACCAAGACGGCCATGTCGGTAGGCAGGAACCCCAAACCGACCAACGTCGCAGAGTATGTGTTCATGGCGGCCAGCTGGCTGCTGGGAGTGTTCGTGTTCGCCATCCTACTCGGTCAGGTCAGGCCAGGTCAAGTCAGGTCAGACGGGGTATGCAAACGTCATGTCAATTGTCAGACCTGGGAAAGGTGATCATTTTTTAAATCGCACTAGCCGGATCCGGCGAGGACATTGGTCAAGCCGCGCTGCAACATCAGGTAGAGATCAAAAGGACGAGGTCAAAAGAGCTAAACTTTTTTGATGTGGTGAGGTTGGGTGGATTTTTCATCTAGCGCTTACAAAATGCGACAGTTCCAGACAGCTTAGCGGAAACGAGACTAGATCATTATATTCCTTGACAGAATATGTGCCTAAGTGTTTTTACATTTTTGTTGTCTTTGCTCAGATCCACGACATTGTGGCGATGGCGAGCCGGTCTCAGACAGAGTTTCGTGAGCGGCTGGACAAGGTGATGCTGCTGCTGAAGAACAAGGGGGTGCCGCAGGAGACCCGTCAGCGGGTCAAACTCTGGCTGACCTACACCCATCAGGAGGATACCACGCCGAGTGAGTGTTCCGGCCGGGAACAGCAGTAGCTGGGAATACGGGATATAGGGATACCCAAAGATTGTGTGTCTGAATGTATAGGCAAGGAGCATGGGTATAGCTGATGACATTCCGAGACGTCATACACTAAACACCTGGCACGGTCCAGTGCGTCCCCTCCGTACCGTTTTTTTTTTTTTTTTGTATATGCTGTCTAACCAATGACCAGTGATCACGTCGCCCAGTTGATGCCGCCTTATCTCACCGGCAGCGGAGCACAACTGCCTCCTGAGCCTGCCGCTGAAGCTGCGGACCGATGTGGCCATGCAGGTCCACTACAGCACGCTGGGCAAGGTGCGCCTGTTCAGAGGCTGCGACATCACCTTCCTCAGAGACGCGGTGCTGCAGCTGCAGCCGGTCGTCCTCCTTCCTGGAGATTTCGTCTTCAGACAGGCAAGCACAGCAAAAGTTGTCTGAGAGAGCCGTCTCTCGATTCATTTGTGAGAACTAGTAAGCGATATCACATGAATGAAAATATCTAGATGATTTTCCAGGTGCTGGCTAACCTCTTTAATCCGCTTACGTAGCTTAGTCCACATCAGCTGCATCTCTTGTCTACGTTCCGCCTCCCCTTTCTCAGGGCGATGTCGGCCGTGACATGTACATCGTTGGCTCTGGGTTCGTTGAAGTGCTGGACGCCCCGGGGTCGAACGTCGTCAGGAAGCGCCTTCAGGTTGGGAGCGTGTTCGGAGAGAACAGCCTGCTGACGCCACACTGCAGACGCTGCGTCGATGTCAGGTCAGTGTGGGGTCAGGTCACAGTAAGCCGTGAGGTCAGGTAAGTGTGAGGTACGGTCAGTACTCAGTTTAGTCAGGTCAGCATAGATTCAGGTCAGGACGGGCCAGATCAGGTCACTGTCAGTCAGGTCAGTGTGGGGTCCTGGGTCAGATCAGTGTACGGCTTTACGTCTAGGTATTAGTTAGCTTAGATCAGGGCGATATCAAGTAGAGACGTTTCACGTCAGTTCAGTGCGATCTCCGGTGAGGGTTGGTGTGAGATAAGAACAATGATATACAAAGTGAGCAACATCAGGGCTGTTCGTAAACCGCAATGCCAGGGAGTAAGTTCCAGCTCAGTTCCAAGCCATATTATATTATACCTCTTCCGTTTGTATTCACAGGTCCCCTGGCTTCACGACGCTGTTTCGCCTGGGACGGGAGCGGTTCTGGACGCTGGCCCACCTGTACCCGGACGTGGAGCGAACCATCCAGCGGCGCACGAGGCGCCGGCTGGCCAAGTCGGCGCAGCGCCGCAGCTGGGGCATGAAGCTCGGCTCCGACGCCGTGCCTGTGTGTCAGTTCAACGCCGCGGCGAGCGCGCCGCGCTGAGTAGTAGCAAGTGCTGGACTGCTGAGTGGTAGCGGATGCTGGAGCTGAGTGGTAGCGGGTGCTGGAGCTGAGCGGGTAGCAATGGAGCTGAGTGGTAGCGGGTGCTGGAACTGAGCTGGTAGCAAGTGCTGGAGCTGATTGGTAGCGGATGCTAGATCTCAGAAGTCAGCTGGAGCTGAATGGTAGCGGGTGCTGGAGCTCATAGGTTAGCAACTAGCGCTACAGAACAGCAGGTGTTGTAGCAGCTGAGAAAGAAGAAGGCAGCCAGAGTTACTGTTGGAACAGCTTTAGCTGCAATAAATGTCAGCACTAAATCTAATTATAAAGCCATCTGACAACAGCTTAGTGATGTCGTGCGTAGGTAGCTGGAGTTTGTTATGTTTTAACTGTATTCTGATTCGGTAAAGGATTTGGTCAATTATAGCATGCTAATATTCATCGAAGTGAAATTTTTGTTGGCCTTTTTGACAGGGCGGTCGCAGACTTGGCGTTTGGGGGGCAACTTGGCAAGGGGGCCCCTGCGCTGACCCGGGGGCCCGGTGCTAGCTTAAAGGGGCCCATCGGGGCGAACGGCTGGAACATTGTGGGTGCACGCCGCACGGGTGCAGAAATCCAGCCATTACTGGTGAAGCGGGGGGGGGGGGAGCGGCACCCGAGTGGAGGCTCATTGCGAGCTTTGAGGCTGTACCATATCGAAAAAGGCACCTACCGATAAGTGCATTTTGAAGTATTGAAAATGTCAATAATTCACGCAACTGTGAATTGACTACCGCATAAAGTAAAAGCGGCTTACTTAGCCATTTTTGAAGATATCGCAGTACTTTTCACAGTGGGTCACCAGTCATCTGTATGTGCTATTTTTTATGTCTTCTTTTTCTACCTGAGCACAAATGCCCAAGATTTGAACACCATCACAGTAGCAACTAGCAATTGCTTCGAAAGATAGAAATATCCCTGCACTGTAGACCCAATGGCAAATAAACCTCAACTAGAAAGATAGATGTTGGACAAAATATCCTGAATTTGTCGCGCTGCATGGCAAGTAGTGTTGATGAGAAAAGGGGGTTTTGTTCCAAATTATTGTGGGTGCAGAATTGTCTGCCACCCACTGGAGGATTATTGTTATTTGTTAGGGCAACTGCACCCACTGCACCCATGGTTCCTACACTTATGGGCCCATCGATAGCGCTTTGGCGATACCTATCGCCTAGAGGCTGCAATGGGGCCCGGCTTAGAGTACAATGTCAAAGCCACCCGAGGACGGCGTTGGACTCAAGGGTCAGCAAAGGGCCTCAAAGGCCCCAGATGGGACCCCAGAGCGCAGAGGCTGATGTGGACCCTCAGGGGCAAGTACGTGACGCCCAAAGGTAAGTCTTTGGGCCTTCCAGAGAACATAATAGGGCCATCAGTGGCGGGTGTAGAGACCTCATAGGCCAGTTGGGGGCCTATAGAGGCGAGTTTGAGGCCGTCTCAGAGCCTAATGTGGGGCCTCAGATGTCGGTGTGAGGCCCTTAACCCGCGCCCTGCTGGGGGTCCTGGATTTCCACGCCCTGCTGGGGGGGGGTGTTTGAACACCCCCCCTTGTAACTCGGCTCCTGGGCCACGTAGCGATACGCGGAAGGCGGCGTTCGAAAGAGCGCAAAAAATAATGACGAAATCACTTCGGTCAATTTTTTGGTCAGGTCAAAGGTCAGGTCACCAGAGGTCATTGAAGCCAAAATTTCGCCGATTTCCAGGTCGAATGTCGAAAATTTCCAAGAAGCCAACGCATAACTCGGGAACCAATAGAGCTACAGCGCCGCGGAAAAGCGCATTCGATAGCCCTATTAACGCCCTTTCTGAGTAATTCTCTCAGATTTGACCTAACGTCAACGGTTTTGCCTGCAGGGGGCAAAAACTGTAAAAATAGCCGATTTTTTCGAAAACAGTTTTTCTGCAATAACTTTTGACCCAAGCCTTGTACGAACTTACTTTTACCGGCATCGTGTTCCTCTCGTCAAGACGCATCGAATGAACTATAACTTGACCTTGAAAGGTCAACTTGAAAATTTGACCTCAGGTCAAGGTCATGACCTGACCGGAAAGGGTCATGTTGCATATCAGTCGATCCGTATCGTCGAGCTGAACACATCTAAGGCGTTTTCATCGCTCTAGCATGCCTCTATCAAAAGTTATTTGCGAAAAACTGTTAGATACCATTCGTGACCTAAGATGACCTCAGGGCATAAACAAGGGTCACGGACACCATTTTCAAGTTCAGTGTGTCTAAACCACTTGTAATTCGGTGTTTGGGAGTGTTTATAATGTCTTTCATCCAAAAGAGGCGCATTTCAATTTTCTCCCATTGACTTATAATGGGGAGGTCGCAAAATTGACCTGACCTTAGGTCATCGATATCAAAATTCTGAGATATACATTTTGTACATGCTATTGCTCTTAGCAATCGCTGAAAGTTTCAAAGCGATCGGTCACTCGGTGTAGCTATGACAGACATTGAAAGTTTTTATGAGGTGAGGTCACTTCAAGTGACCTGGTGACCTGACCTTGAATGACCTTGGTCTGAAATTTTTACAACATGTGTAGAATTGATGTATGATAAGGTGTACCAAAAACGGCGGCGCTCCGCGCCGCCGTTTTTGAGATATTCGCGAAAAACCACAAGGGGGGGTGTTCAAACACCCCCCCCCAGCAGGGCGCGGGTTAAAGACCGATAGGTATGGGTCCTCAGAAGCCGGCATCGATGCTTCAGAAGCCAGTACGGGGCCCTCAGAGGCACATAAGGGTCAGTTTTGGGTTCCAGAGACAGAAATGGGACTTTCAGAGGCCGATGTGGGACCTTGAGGGGCCGGTTTAGGCACTTACGAGGCTAATTTAGGGCCCTCAGAGGGCCTGCAAAGGTTGATATTTTGGCATAAAATGGGTATTGATTCGATGCAGCTCGTCACGGGGAGTCTAATGGTGGTCTTTGTTTTGCGCTACGACGTCTAGAATTGCTAAAAAATGAGTTTGAAAATTTGACGTCATCAATTTTGAACAGTGTATACGCTATAACTTGTCCAAAAAGGAGGTATTAATCTCCAAATTTGGTATGTAGATAGGAGGTGAGAGGGACTATCATATATATTCCATTTTTCGAAATTCAGAAAAATTTTGGATTTTTTGGCTATTATATTAAAAAATCCTTTTTTTTTTTGTTTCAGGGGGTCAAAATCAAAGAAACTTTCAAACATCCAAGATAGCAGTTTTATAGCCCTGCTAATTCTACGCCTTTTAATTCTTGAACATTTTTTTTTTCTGAACATTTTCAAAGCTATAAGCCTGACAGCTCTTCCCGGGAAACCTTTTTGGGGTCGAAAATGGCAGAAGATGACGTCATTCTGACGTCATTTGCGGCCAACCTATCAGAGCCTCTGGAAAAATTGTTGGTCACAATGTGTGAAATTGATGCCCGGAGGGGTCCTAAAAGTTTGGTGACGATATCTGCAGTCGTTTAGGAGATATCGACGGAAAAGGACAGGCGTTTCGCCCCCCCCCCCTACGGGGCGCGGGGGGGCGAATCTACGAATGACTCCAGTCGCTTCGCTCGCTCCGTAACAAAGGACAGTAGCGTATGTACGTCGAACTCTATTCCGCCTCACCAAAATCGCTCACTCAGTATAAATGTAGAAAAAATTGGGCTGTGCCATTCAACTCATTACCTAACCTCTAAGTAGGTCGGCGAATAGTTCTTAGTGCTGAACGCTTAGGAATGGTTTTAAAAATTAGGTGAGTCATGAGAGTACCGTGCAACGATTTCTTTTGCCCACAGTCGTCTACCTGTTCACCAGTTGCTCCTCCGACTTAAGTTATCTTGGTAGTCCCCAATCCATTTGAGCGGCTAAAACTGACACATGCTTTATTTGAAACTTTGGAGCAGCAAATGAACTTGCGTTATACGACGTAGGTATGCGTTAATTGAACAGAAACCGGCAAGAAATTAATGAGCTTAACTTATCAGAGAAGATGCCGTCAATGCGCCGCCTGTCTTTTTAAAGTGATAAGAAACGAGTTTAGTTTGTTCGGACCGGTAGCATTAGCGGTCCGCAGATACCTGTGTAGGTGGGTGATAATTGGCAGACCGTGTCAGTCACCGGACAGCCGCAGAAGACGTGACATCTGGGCGGCGCGCCGACACAAGTCAGCACCGATAGCGGCACGGTGCAGCTCCCCAAAGGCCCGTCGTTCTGGAGAACTCACAGACCAGGTGACGAGGGCTCAGCACTGGCCACTGGGGAGCCATCAGCGTTATGGCTTGTCTCCACCTTTTGTCTCTTCTCGTCGCACTCTGCCCAGCGGCGGCCGAGTTTCAGCTGACCATTATTCACAACAATGACGTGCACTCCCACTTTGACCCCGTGGCGGCCAGCACGGGCGCGTGCCGTGACTTCAATGACCCGGACAATCCCTGCTACGGCGGCATTGGCCGGCTGGTGAGCGCCGTAAGCAGCATCAAACAGCAGGTGCCAAACACTCTGGCGCTGTACGGAGGCGACATATTCCAAGGAGACCTGTACTATACCCTGTTCAAGTCGCAGGTGGTGCTCGAGATGATCAATATGGTGTCGTACGATGCTATGGTAAGTTCAAAGTCAATACACCCGTTTGCAGCTTTTATGATGATTGATGAATGATGACATTGCCATCAAATCAAACCATGTAATTTGTTTAACACATGTTTTCTTCGAGTGAATGTTGCGTAAATCAAAATGAGCTTGAATGTGTTAGGACGTTTTAAAAACGTCCCAGTAAACGTCCCGGTGCACTATGGCGTTGCTGCAGGCTCTGGGCAACCACGAGTTCGACGACGGTCTGGACGGCCTTTTACCGTATCTGGAGGGCGTTAACCACCAGCAGCTGTGCACAAACATCGACTTTGGCGCCCTGGCCTCGTCCGTCACCGACCAGTGCGCCAACAGCGTGGTCCGGGAGCTCGATGGACGCAAGATCGGCATCATGGGATACACAACGACCGAAACGAGGGTACGTCGGGGATGTGAAGCCGTGGAAACGATGCAGAACGAGGGATATCCCGACGGGATGTGATCTAAGCTGCCGTACGCGCAATGGGGATCGGAGTCAGAGACCATGCGCAAGCCGTAGTCCTCTGGTCGTGCTTTCCTCGGAGAATTAACATAGCACTGAGACAGCACAGCTTAGGCATACATTTTAAACAATCTGGTTGATCTAAACCTAACTGACCTCACATCATCAGTTGTTCCTCGCATGCAGTTTCATTATCGTTCGTCCGTATCGTTCCTGGTCATCACTATTGCCAAAACGAGCGTAAAAGTAAAAAAAAATTAAATACTTAACCCTCGCCCCGTTGGGGGGGGGGGGGGCCATTTTGGCCCCCCTGTGGTTTTTCCTGAATAGCAAGAAAACGGCGGCGCGCAGCGCCGCCAAATTTTCAGTACCTTCCCGGGCATCAATTTGACACCTTCACACCAAATTTCAAGTCTTAGGTCACCTTAGGTCAGGAGTTATTGAGGTCAAACTGAGGTCATGTTCGAGCAAAAATGAGCAAAAAACATGCAATCTTGAAACGCTCACCAAATCTACAGTTATCAAGCAATTTCAAAGTTCTTTATATGGTCTAGTAGGGGAGAGTGGGGTAATTTGGTCGGTGGTGTAAATTGGCCGCCCCCACCTGTACGATGTCTAATAAAAGTGAGTGAAATAACTCTAGTCTCTATTCATTTGTCATGGGTAGAAATAACTGGAGGACAAAAGTCAAAACTTTGCCCCTCGTAGTTTTATTCAAAATTAATAAAACGTTAATTTCATTAGAAAATGGTAACTTTTACTTCTGTTTACAAAGTTGTATAACATGTAGTATTTGGGCTAAAAACGAATTCAGACATTATAGCGCCATTCTTGGCGGTGTTCAGCGGTTCCAAGAGCAATTTCATCTAATTCCGTATAGCCGTGATGACTTTATACACAAAAATTTCAGAATGGCAATATGGGGTAATTTGGCCGGGACTAGCGGGGCAACTTGGCCGGTGCGCTCATGGTCACTATGCTGGGACGGCCGAATTTTCATGGTCAATTGTACCATAAATGACATGATTCATGACCAACTTTGACTACTTTTATGCCTTACTTCCGATTGGTCAACTGTAAGAGCATGTGACGTCATCAAAGGTTACCAAACGTTTTTTGCTAATAAATCCTTACATAAAAAAGGTACAGACGCACAAATGGTCTCATTCTGTTCAGCTCGCCAAGGCGCATCGAATGATATGCATGATGACCTTGAAATCACGTGACCTTGAGGTCAAGCGACCTGAGGTAACGTGACCTGAGGTCAACCTTTGACCTTGACTTCTCGAGGTCAACACATATATGTTTCGATGCGGACTGACGAGAGAATTACGATGGTACTCGAAGTTTTGCCCTAGCTTGATTACTTCAAAAGTTATTCGTAAAAAACTGTCTTCGCATCTAGAGCCGGTAATTTGGCTACTTTGACCCCTGTGACCCCATGAGTCAACCTCCAAAATGCGGCAAATGCGTCATAGGACACACGTCATTGCTGAATCTGAAGCTTACTCGCAAGATAGCAGAAAATCCCGACCGCAAACTAACACCGGCCAAATTGCCCCACACCCCCGGCCAAATAACCCTGCTAGTGGGGCAATTTGGCCGCCTTGCAGACCTTTGTAATACGTCACAATTTCAATATAAGTAATTACTCTATCATTTCCAGTTCACTGTCCAGTAAAGTAAAATGAATGCGACACCTGCCAGCGTTGAGAAAATGCAGAAATTTGTCGTCAATTTTAAGTTACATCGTTTTCTAAAAAAAGCGGCCAAATTACCCCACTCTCCCCTAGACAAAAAGCGGTGCTACAAAACTGCTATCTCGGATTTTCAAAATTTTTGGTTTTTGACCAAAAAAAAAATTCAAAAAATTGATTTTTTTAGAAAAACTTTGAAAAAATCCAAAATTTTCCCGAATTTCGAAAAAACCGGAATATATGTGATAGTCCCAGCGCACTTCTATATACATACTAAATTTCAGATCGATATCTCGTTTTTCGGCCAAGTTATAGCGAAAAAACTGTTCAAAAATGATGACGTCAAATTTTTGAACTCAATTTTTAGCAATTCTAGACCACGTACCGCAAAACAAAGACCACCATTGAACTCCCCGTGACGAGCTGCATCGATTCGATACCCATTTTATGCAAAAATATTAACTTTGAAATTTGACCTAATTTGACCTGACCTTGACCTGACCTTGACCTGACCTTGACCAAAACGTGATCTAAGCTGGCCCCAAAGGCTGCCTGACCCATATAATCGCATTTGTCATGTAAAATGGACCATAAAACATGTATCACACGACACTTTCATATTGTGACCCCCCGTGACCTGACCTCTGTGACCTGACCTGGTATCAGTGACCTCAAATAGCAAAATATGTGTTTGAAGAACATTTCCCCATCGATGATTTTCAATGAAATGCATTTTACTCGATTTTACAACGCATTTCTTGAAGTGCCTGTAAACGGTGAAAATTGGACCTTTGACCTGACCTGTGACGTCATCGGTTTGACCTAGGTCAATAAAATTGGGTCACAAGGTAGTTCCCCGTTGGGGCTATCCAACGCCGTTTACCGCTTGTCGCTATGTTGCGTGGTTCTCGAGATCTTAGGGGGGGGGGCCAAAATGCCCCCCCCCCCCAACCGGGCGCGTTGCTCGGCAGAGCCCAACGGGGCGCGGGTTAATCTAAGTTATCTGTCATTACTGTCACTAAGTCTATGAAAGAATTGACCACCTGTCTTACAGAGCACTTCTAATGCGCCACGAGAGGTGCTGTTCACCGACGAGGTGGCAGCTCTGCGCGCAGAGGCCAGCCGCCTCAGGGGACAGGGCGTCGACATCATCCTCGCCGTGGGCCACTCGGGACTGAAGCGCGAGATGGAGATGGCTGAGCTGCTGGAGGACGTCGACATCATTGTCGGCGGCCACTCTCACTCGCTTCTCTACACAGGTGAGTGGTCTTCAGGAATTGTGGAGCTTAGATATTGCAGCCAAAGATCACTTCAGCTAGGTGCTACGGTCAGTGGTAGCTCAAGCTGACAGCTGTAACCAGTGGCCAAGTGGCCACACTACCTTGAGTAGCTGAAGCGTACGATTACTCCTCCAATGTGTAACTACTGCCAAGTCAAGGCGTGACATGCATATGTTACAGTTAGTATGCGAAATCCGTTAGGTTGCAACGTAGCTAGTTACGCTGCAAACTACCTGACCGGCAAGGGAGTTTGCAGCCTAACTACATAGTTACGTTGCAAACTAACTAAGTTAGGTTGCAAACTACCTGACCGGTCAGGTAGTTTGCAACGTAACTAGTTACATAGTATAAACGGATTTCGCATACTAACTGTAACACATAGACATCGTTTTATACATCGGTCTGCTCTGGTAAGGCCCAAGCTTTATCCTTACCAATGCATCTCGGAGAGTGACGTGCTCATACAAATACATGCCGGTACGAGGCTACACACTTCCGCTGACGTCATCAACCTTTCACAGGAGATGCACCGCATGAAGACCCCACTGAGGGGCCGTACCCGGTGGTGGTACGCCAGGACTCGGGTCGTACCGTGCTCGTCGTTCAGGCGTACCAGTACGGCAAGTACCTGGGCAGGCTGGACGTGACATTTGATGACGGTGGCGAGGTGACTGATTGGGGCGGCAATCCGATCCTGCTAGACGGAGAGCAGGACGAGACTGCTGAGGCGGCACTGGAGCAGTACAGGGAACAGGTGCGGTGCAAGGGAGAGAGAGAGAGAGAGAGAGAGAGAGAGAGAGAGAGAGAGAGAGAGAGAGAGAGAGAGAGAGAGAGAGAGAGAGAGAGAGAGAAAGAGAGAGAGAGAGAGAGAGAGAGAGAGAGAGAGAGAGAGAGAGAGAGAGAGAGAGAGAGAGAGAGAGAGAGAGAGAGAGAGAGAGAGAGAGAGAGAGAGAGAGAGAGAGAGAGAGAGAGAGAGAGAGAGAGAGAGAGAGGATGCGGGAAGGGGAGAGAAAGAAGTGACGATGGATTATACGATCCCACTCTCACATCGCGCTGACGTATTCTCCAGTTGGTCGTGCTCCGGAACCAGGAGATTGGGTCCACTCTGGTACAACTGGTGGGGGACAGAAGTGTCTGCCGCGCCGAGGAGTGCAACTTGGGCAACCTGATCGCCGACGCCACGCTGAGGGCGCTGCTGACCCCCGCTGAGGGACAGTGGAGCCAGGTGAGGTGGCCTGAAGATAACAACATTTGAGAGGAGGCGAGGAATGAGGTGCCAAAAGGCCGATAAACATTTTGTGGACGAGCTATGGAGGAGCGGCAGTGCTGGATTCAGAATCGATGCAGTTTGTGAATACCAAATGATCAATCAAAGATAATGTTGAATGTAAGTGAGTGCGTGAGTGAGTAAGTGAATAAGTGAGTGAGTGCTTGAGTGAGTGAGTGAATGACTGAGTGACCCCCTCCTTCCCAAACGCCTTCAGGTATCGGCCGCCATCATGAACGGCGGTGGGATCCGCGAGTCGGTGGCGCCTGGATCCGTCCGACTCTCGGATGTGCTCCAGATTCAGCCGTTCGGCAACACCATCAACGTGGTGACCCTCCGCGGCGCCACGCTGCGGGATGTGTTCGAACACTCCGTCTCAGCAGTGGAGGAGGGCGCTGGACGCTTCCTGCAGGTCGCAGGTGTGAAACATTTGTCTCCCAAAATTTCTCGTTAGAATTGCTTGATATATTTTTACCTAAAGCATTTCTTCTTGTCAAGTTTGTGTGAGCATTAGAGATTCCATGAAAATTGCAAAGCAAAATATGTCATATGCCAGCTCAAACAGAAGTTTAAATGTTTTATGTCAACATTCATGGTGTTGACTGAAGCTTCTCATTCATGCATACTTTCCGGATTGTTAGCATACCCCAATTTTCAAATGACCAACGTAGCTTTTCCCCCGTTCCGCCTACAGGCATACGAGTGACCTATGACCTCGAGTGTCCGGTGGGTTCACGGGTGCGCCGCCTCGAGATCACGTGCACCTTCTGTCTCGTGCCTCGTCTGGAGCTCGTTCAGGACGATGCCGAGTACCGAATCGCAATGCCGAACTTCCTTTCTCAGGGAGGAGATGGTTATGATGTCATCAGAGATAATAAAATTGCCGAACTGAATGCAGGTGAGTAGTGATCATGAAATTCTGTTATAAAGACATAAATGGCAGTTTCTGATAAGTAACTATAAGACCGCCGGCTCCGTGCGCTTGTTCCAGGAGCGTTTGGATGTCGTTTGATATTCTAGCACGTTTTAACCCTATTAGTGGCGGGGGGGGGGGGTTGTTTTCATCCACCCCTCAGGTTTTTCGGGAATATCTCCGAAACCGCTGAAGCTACGATGCTGAAATTTTCTGACTTTTCCTAAAACTAAATTGGGCACATTTCCTGACAATTTCAAGTTCATAACTTTACCAGGGGCGGCTCCAGAGCACTGGGAATTGGGGGTCCTATTCGTGAAGCGAATCATTTGGGCGAAGATCACGATGCTGATGTATTATAAATGTATGCACCAGTTTTACGAACAGTGAATGAAAGGTATCATGTGATAACATATTCAAAGTTATTGTGCATCCTCTTTTGACACGTTTTTGCTATAATAGGCGTATCCAGGCGTCCAAAAAGGGCGGTTATGTTTTACCTCCCAACATAGGTGCCCTGACACCGCCTATGCATGACCAATACAATTGTAGTCGTTCTCTCATAAGAAAATTGTAACATAACAAGACCATTACCACCCTTTTTAGAAACAGTACCAACAAAAACCTTATTTACTATACTTTTTGTGTACCCCCAATCTCAATGATCTGTATCCGCCTATGATTTTTGAAAATGCATATTTTTAGGATCCATGTGAATTCCTGGTTCATTCTCTATCGATCGGCAAAAGTTGCGTTAAGATTGGTTCAGAAACCTGACCGTGATAAACAGTCTAAAATGTATCTGCAATTTGCCCGTTTTTACCCCCCTCTACCCCCCTATTGACATTTTTTAATTACCTATTATTTTTTTTAGAAATGTAGATCACGTTGAGCGAAATCGAATGCCGTTTGAATTTTGAAAATCGGCCCGTTAGATCTCGAGATATCAGGGGGGGTCGTAAACAGCCCCCCCCTGCCACTAATAGGGGTAGCCAGGAGCCTGCCACTAATAGGGTTAAGTGCACGTGAAAGCGCGGTGGACATCCTCTTTTTTTCGCGCGTTTGTGTTACCCACACTCTTTGTGTGGGTGGAATGATTGCAATCTGAATGATTGGCTTAACCTAACCTGTTGCTCGAAGACTAACTACACTGTGTAAAATACTCGATATTTTTATCGCAGCACTAACGGCAATCTCTTTTCTCGCCAGACCTGCTCGACGTTGATCTCCTCCGCGATCATATCGAGCGACTGTCTCCCGTCATAACTGGCATTGAGGGCAGAATTATCATCACCGAAGGCAACGGCATCTGTGGCGACGACGACCCACGTCCCCATCACGGATATCCGGAACATCTCTGTGGGACGCTGGGACATCTGGGACATCTGGGACATCTGGGACATGGGACCCACTCATACCCCGGCTATGTCCCCCCGCACCTTCATGGCTTTAGCGGCGGCATCCGAACACCGCTTCCACCACACCTCATTGGTTATCACATCTATCACCGAAGACGTCATCATAGGTTTTTCTAATAACTACAGCGGCCAGTAAGAACAGCAGCAGTGTCACGTTCGGTAGCTATACCTACTTCGGCCAAGTCTCGGCCCTGGAATCAGTCACCAAGAGGCAGAATGGCTTTTGAGTTGACGCGGAAATAGCTCTTCACCAGAATGTGGCATGCTTCAATCGGCAATTTAAGCTTTTAAATGAGACGCATGACGCATGCGCATGCACCAGTCGCACTGCCAGGCTGAGACTTGAAAGCATACTCTTCCTTGGCTATAAACTGCTTGCGTGTGCCTAGTAACTAGCTGCGACCCTCTTCACGTTTTAATTAAAGTAGGAGAGGAAGAACAATAGGTCGGCTATGACTCATTAGTATATGTACTGTATTGTACTGTATAGTATATGTACTGTACTGTATTGTCGAGTGAAAATCGTGGAGCCTTCAAGTTTCAACCCCCGAGTTCGCCGTAAAAGAAGCGTGCGTTTGATGCTCATTCTGCTATATTTGGCTTATTTGGGCTATATTATAACGATGGGGTGAGTAGAAAGTGGACCGACCTGCTTCCGTTTACGAAAGTGATGTGACAATATACCTGTTTAACCCATTTTTAGGCAGACGTCAATTGATGGCGGAAGTGACTGGGCTAACCGGCTTTAATCCGGTTTGAGGCTCGCATACAATCGGTATGTCAGTATCTCTTCGCATCGTATAGGGTTGTCTAATATTTACCAGACGAACTGCATTGCTTTTGAGTGGGTAAGTCAAACCTAGCCAGGTCAGGTTAAAGCGAAACTCTCGTACTTTCACCTATTTTTTTTATCGACCTCGATAAATGATCGTGTCTCATTCAGGTCGCACGCCGTTTCACTCAGATCATATTGCATAACATTTAGAAAAGCGACGATCTTAGTTCCTAAATGAGCTGAATAAGAGATTAAATCGAGTGAGGATCTGAGTGTGAGTACTCCCATATTTAGGCTGTTTTATTCAGGTGGGTGACGGCACGTGATCGCCTGAGGCGGTGGGGGTAAAAAAATATTTTCGTCATTTAATGCTCAACGCAATCGCTGCGATTTTTACAAGACATTCTCCTCGTCGTTGTTTCTTGCTTTCAACGACTGGTCCCCGAGTTATGACTATCCTCACGCAGGATAGGATGAATGGAGCTAGCAAGTAAGCCCAAAAAACATATCGAAAATGTTACGAAACACTTCTTTTGAAGGAGATGAACTGAATGGTTTTGCAGCCTCACGAAACATGTTTCAGATATGACGCGTCACACAAACTGACGCATAAAGACTGTGTTCAAAAGTTTGAGCGGCAGCTCCGCAAGCACTTGTTGACGAATGAAAAGCGTAGGTACTGCCCGGTCGCCATAGCAACAAGTAAGCATCACAAATTTCGAACACTATCCGAGTGCGCCAAGTTCGACTACATCGAGGACGATGGGCGATGGCTGCCAGCTGATTAAATTAATGAAACGCGATTAAATTCAACTTTAATCGCGTTAGAGAGAGAGAGAGAGAGAGAGAGAGAGAGAGAGAGAGAGAGAGAGAGAGAGAGAGAGAGAGAGAGAGAGAGAGAGAGAGAGAGAGAGAGAGAGAGAGAGAGAGAGAGAGAGAGAAAGAGAAAGAGAAAGAGAAAGAGAAAGAGAAAGAGAAATAAAAAGAGAAAGAGAAAGAGAAAGAGAAAGAGAAAGAGAAAGAGAAAGAGAAAGAGAAAGAGAAAGAGAAAAGAGAGTCGAAAAAATATTATCGGGGCGATCGATGGATGTTGTTTTGAAACCCGCTACGTATTGGTGCACAAGCGAGAGAAAGGATTTCGGCTTTTGGCTGAACCATGGATGACATAGTATAGTACTAACTACTAATATAATAGATATCAATTCTATTCTTAATATTATTGTGACACATTTCTAAGATTTCAGTGAATCTTACATAAATACGCCAAATACGCATAAATTAAGAATAGTAGAGACAAACCTATTGCAATATAAGTTCCAGATCACAGAGCATTAAATGTCATTTGACGAGCAGAAATTAATTGATTGATACTCACCTGAAGCAATCTGATGAAATCACATACCACGAGACCGTTATAGAATTCCGTCACAGCTCCTGTGGTTTGACATATCTAGTAGACATACATACAGCACACATTCATCGATAACGTATCTGGCTCGTCAGTTCTGAAATTTTCCACCGCTTCCACCGTCATCGCACCAGCTGCGCGGCTCGCCCACGGGGAACGGGCAGACGAGAGGTGGGCCTCCTGACATCAGATCGCCGACGGTTCTAGCGGCGAGCGTATTCCAAACGGTACCGTTTGAGCCAGACCTTATACGGAGACAGCACTGACCCAGTGCGGGAGCTGTGCTGAATGTTTTATACATGCAGCACACTGTCTGCGGGCCCTCCAGGTCGGGGCAATGACCGATGTCAACGGAAGTTCACTGGGTTAATGATATAAATAGAATCACACCACTGCAGCCGTTCGTTACACATGGTATGGAAAGACTACCCTTTCTCCATAGTATTGGTGGTGTATGAATAGGTCAATGTGTGCTAAGTGCAGTAGGTTTGCGACAGGTGGGGTCAGGTCACATAGCGGCAATGCCATTAAATAACGTTATTTATTACACTGTGGCATAACATTAGTTTTGCGGCAGAAATCAGACTTTGCGGGATAACGTAGGTTCCATAGAAACAAATTTGAAGGTAAGCATAAGTCGATACTTGCTTGCAATGAAAATTGCATTGCAATGACCAGTTAGCGAAGGTTCAAAAGGGCGGTCTACATTTCTAGATTCTAAATTCTTGAGTTATAGGTAGCCTAGTGATACTAAACATTCTTATCGTCTTCCTAAAAAAAAACATAAAAAACAATTTTCGGTAAAAACTTGCATACCGACCTAAATTCATGCAAAAGAACTTATTTTACGATCAGTTAAGTGGGATTTTAGAGTCGTCTTATATACTTTCACTGATGTATAGTCACGCATTGAAAAAGGCTCCTCAATGGGGTCGAAATATTTGCCATCATTTAAAAAAAAAATACATGCTATGTACTCTTCAAACTCTGAAAAGTATACCATTCATATTTTACGATGTTTAATTACTTCCTAGAATTTCGAAGCACGAAATCATGAATTTCTATGGCCCTCGCCAAGGCCCTTTATTCAAGGCAGCAAGCAAAGCAGCAAGATACGTAGGCAAAATATCTGGAAATGGAGTAGACCGATACGTATTTGAACGACATACACACAGCGACATTGACATAGCTATGTCGTAGTGCATGTCGTTCAAATATTTCGGCCATAAAATGCAACACACCGAACGTGAACCGTGCAAACTATGCAGTGTGTACTGTGTAGGGTAATCCCCGCCTCTGGTGGCGGGTCACAAATGTATCTAACTAAATGCCGACCTACTGACGGCTCATGTATAGGCCCGTGGCCTCAATTGACCTCTCGGTGGGGGCCGCCCGGGACACCAGTGCAGTAGGTCAGAGACACCGAGCAGTCAGAAGTTGGCAGTCACGCCGGACGGACGTGGCCAGGGACGCGCCGAGTGTAGCCGGGTGTAAGCAGTCAGTGTAACAGGAGGAAGCCAGACGCCCTACTGGAGGAAGCCGGACGCCCTACTGAAGGTAGTAGCACGCCCTACTGGAGGAAGCCGGAGGTCCTACTGGAGGTAGCCGGTCGCCCTACTGGGGAAGCCGGACACTCTACTAGAGGTAGCCAGGCGCCCTACTGGAGGTAGCCGGACACCTTACTGGAGGTAGTAGCACGCCCTACTGGAGGAAGCAGCACGCCCTACTGAAGGTAGCCGGATGTCCTACTGGAGGCAGTAGCACGCCCTACTGGAGGAAGCAGCACGCCCTACTGAAGGTAGCCGGAGGTCCTACTCAAGGTAACCGGACGCCCTACTGGAGGAAGCCGGACGCCTTACTGGAGGTAGCCGGACGCCCTTCTGGAGGTGGTCGGTCGTCCTATTGGAGGAAGTAGCACGCCCTACTGGACGTAGCCGGTCGCCCGTCATACTGGAGGTACCTGGACGTCCTACTGAGGCTCGACGAACAGTCTTCTGGAGGTAGACGAAAAGAGCCGAAAAATCCAATTGCCGCCGCTACAAGCGTAATCGGACGAGGAGCGGACGTCTAGCTGCAAAACGTGGTCAGCAGGCATTGCGGGCTCAGAATATCTTTGCAAATCATGTCTGGCAGTACTCCTGAGATCACAGCTACTACTCCATGTCCGTGCGAAAATGGTAAGCTTGGTTTGACATACGCTCCCATTATTACGAAGTTTGAACTTGTTTGCAATTTACTTTTGCCCTTTTACATTCAAGTAAGCATACTCTGAGTAGCACATTCTCGTCGACTGACTATACCTGACTGCGTCTTGCCGTTGTACATCCAATCCCATGGTATTCATTTTCAAGTTTTGAACCTGAAGTTGAGCATGGTGAGAATTATGACATTTATAGATGACAACAATCAGCCTGTTGCTCATTAACAAAATGGTCATTGAACCAATTGTCAAAAATCCAAAGAAATGACCAATAACAAAATAATAAAAAGGTTCTCGATTTCTTCGCAGTAATGAGCAACAGGTAAATTGCTATCATCTTGATAAGCACACATTTTCACACAAAAAAAAACGACACGGTAGTCGGCACGAGTTAATAGAGACCCTGCAACTCCCGGGCTTTTCTTTTCTTTTCAGTTCTGAACACCACGATTGCACCGTTCAACCCTACGATCAAATACAGTCTTCCCACCATCTCGTCGTTCCTCGACCCGACGATCGGCAACGAGGGTGCTCTGGTGCTCTGGACGGTCGGCTCCCTGCTGCTCTTGGTTCTGGGGCTGCAGCAATTCATCGGCGCAGGAATTGCCGCGTTCGCCGGACCCAACAGCGCATTCGTACGTTTTAGCATTACTGACGTTACGTTTTAGTACCAAAATGCTTACCTACCTGGCGATAACGGACATGGGCTGTCCTTAGATCCAGTATATTAGTGTTCATACGCTGCACAGTCCTCATCTCACTGCGTGGTATAGGTATCCTTTTTTTCGACGAGACCGTTAATAGCTCGACGGCTATGTAATAAGTTGATAGGAATTCATAGCACAGAGATGAACCATGTTTTTTCTGTCGATTGGGCTAATAAAATAAATACTAAGCGAACTGTGGCGACAAAAGGCAACAGTTTGTTTTGAGGACAAAATATTAACTTTTTTGTATTGTTGTCTTACTGGATGGAAAATGAAATACCATGATGAGCCGAACCTAAGGTGGAGCCTTGCGCGTCCTGTTACTACGATTTCCGAATGACGGATAGCATAGTCTTCGAGTTATTCTCCGGTTTTGTCGAACAAAAAAAAAAAAACTACCACGCAGAAAAAAGAGGGCTTGTAAGTTGTGGTGTACATTTATAACTTTACCTGTCCTTTTACCTTAACACTTACACTTTGACCACTTTAACCGTTACTTAGCCGTCGCATTTATAGGGGGGGTCGAACAACCCCCCCCCCGCTTTGAGCAAATAACTCGCGCAAAAAGCGGCCGGTCTCGACGAAACTTGCAATACCCTTGAGTGAATCAATTTTACAAATTATACCTACCCGGTACCCCGAACATTTCATGGCCCTGACCAAAATGACCTTTTACCTGTAGCTTGTTTCTTGAGGTCGTGTCAAGCCGGAATTGCGATTTGACGCATGTCAGTGCACATTATCCGCGTGTTTCTAGTCTTGTGATTGTAAAGTTCCAACATGTGAAATGCTGGTTGTCCCATACGTTATGGTGGGTGTCAAGGTCACGTGAAGATCAGGCGAAGGTCATTGACCTTAGATGAACTTGGCTCACTTTTTTAGCTTTACATTGCCTTTTTTTTGCTGAACTCGAATCAAGTACTCATTTGAAGATTTGAAAAGTAATTTTGGTGCCTATACGAAACATGTTATGAAGCTGTCAGTGGTGGTTGACACCTACTACGGATTGCCCTACAGGACGCCAACTGGTTGACCTGATCGACCATAAAATTCGTACCTAATCAGGATCTCGAGAAAAAAAAGACAATCTCACTCATAAACTTCTAAGAGGTCCCAAGTTTTGCGACTTTTGAGTAATTGACCTGACCTGGAAGGTCAAACGATGAACTAGGACCTTAAAATGGGTAGCCTGTGATTCCTCTCATCACGAGAACCACGCTCGTTTTCTACCGGGAAGCTCTAGCCAGGCCCAAACGGTTGGGGCGGCCGGTAGGAGGTGTGCTGCGGAATCCTCAAATACGCTAGACGCTGTAAAAAGGCCAATACGGGCGAGGGTTACGGCGAGGCTACGGCGAGGGCGAGAGTGAAGCCATCCGAAAAAAACTATCAATGGCGAAAAACATGCGTCGCGCTATGGTTCTCAGAACCAAACCAATAATGCATGATCTAATTTCTTAACTGTCAATAAGCGACCAAAATTGATGGCAAAACCTAGCCGGTGCAATGTGCATGTTTTTATAGCGCACCATTTGTAAGATTCATAACAAACCTTGATGAAAACCAGTCTGCGACCAACCTGTTTTCTATGTTTTGTTGTCTTCGTCATAACTATCCCTATTCTAAATACCTACCCTGCAAACGGATTTTCTAATAAATGTGTGCTATGAAGAAACTTTAAATTCACCTTACATTAGTTGATTTGTATTTTTTCTCCTTTTTTAGGGAGCGCTGGGCAACGTACCAAACATACCTGGTGAGAACGATGATGAAGATAATGGAGGGCAAGAAACAGGTACAGCTCAGTTCAACGCCAACTTTCCGCCGCCTCCAAATCCTCCGGCACCTGGTCCGGTAACAAACCCAGCGGTGGTTCAGCCCGCTGACGGTGGGGGGACAGGCACTGACGGAGACTCAGGAACGAATTCAGGAACAGATGCAACAGCTGATGGTACAGGAACAGCTGCTGCAGGAGTTTCAGAAACAGGTCCGACAGGAGGTGCAACAACTACTGAAGGAGATTCAGGAACAGATTCAGGAACAGCCACACTAACTGGAGGCGTGGGGACAGATCCTGGCATGGATGCAGGAGTGCCCACGGGAACGGGTACAGTTCCGGACCCATTCACTGATCCCGAAGCTGCTTTGGGACCGGCGAACGGAACACAAACTCGCTTGCTGCAAGGAACCAGAACAGAATCATCGACAGATACACCGAGACCGTCTGCAACACCGCTTACTTTCAGTAATAGTTTTTCGAATGGACGAAACCCAGTTCCAGCTACCCTGCAGAATGGCTTAACACGCCCACTGCCGTCGTCCCAGAGCGGAGCGGCCGCGGCAGCGGTGGAAGCTCGGCCGTTTGCCGGAACAGGCGCTGGAAGAGACCCAGCATCAGGAGGCCTCGGCGGCCCAGAACGTCCAGGTCCGACGACTGGGAACGTAAATAATGGCGCAAGACCCGCTGCGCCGGGGTTCGTGGCTGAGGCAGATCCAGCCATAACCTTCCAAACTAGACCAACCCAATCTGCTGCAACGGACGCTGGTTCACCCATCTTACCAGAACGAGGACCCAGACCAAACCAGTCCAATCCGCAAGAGCCAGGACTGAGAGCACCAAGTGGCACAGGAGCTGAGAAAACACCTGAATTAAGTGGAACCAAGGCTGGCAAAGGAACTGAGCAGATACATTCCACAGGGGGACAACAGACCAGACTTGTGTATCCATCGAACCACCTCCTGCCTGCCGGGGTTCCGCCGTCCCAGCACGGTTTCTTACCTCACCACCAACCGCCAACACATGAACACCACCGGAACCCGTCATCGCACGCATTCCCAGCCTATTCTCAGTCGACAGTCCACCACAGAAACCCGCCTGTGGGAGATAAAATCATCGGCGAACGACCGGCACCCTTTCGGCCGGTCCACAGCCCACCGGACACCTACCACCAGGTCGAACGTCCGCAACATTTAGTTGTACGCCCGGTAGGGCGACCACACCAGAACTTCCTTCGGAACAACTTCCTTCGACGGCTGCTTCAACCCATATTGTGAACATTTGCACTTCTTCACAGCAAACGAGTTGCATGAACGAGTCACGGGTTTGAATGACAACACTGGGCGAGCGGTAGCTTATTTAGAAAACGCAAAGTGATTGCTAAATTAAATTTATGTAAAGATCGAACAGGCCAAGGCTATGATGAACAGGCTATGACTTAAGTAGTGTCGATAACAACGCTAAGCGACCGTGTGAGTGCGTATTTATTGAGCGAGAGCTTTGAGTGGCGTAGGTGTTCAAGGCGTGTAATGCTTCGACTTCCGCGGTATGGAGATTCTAGAGCTACACGATGCCTGCTGTTCCGCCATTAAGAGCGAGATCATTATGACTAATACAATTATGTAGAACTACAATATGCAAGTGTGTGATAACGATATAACGATAAATACAAACCTTGCTTCTTCACTGCGTGTCTGTCAAATCCCAACGGTGTCGTATGTACTTACAGCGCTCGATACTGGGGTAAGAAGCCTCATTGCTGTCCAACTTCCTGATTAGTGATTACCATGGGTCGCAAGGGTAATGGTGGCGTTTTACAAAGCCTAAACATTCTTAAAAAGGTTAGTTAGAGTACCGTGCCTCGAATCACGTATTTCACCTCACTGAAATCGCCCACTCATCATAAACGCACAGAAATTAGGTCATCGCATGCAACTCGTTACTCTAAGTATGTTGACGAGTAGTTTCTTCGCAGTTAGTGCTGATGTGATCTTAATTAGAAGTGCCTTATGATAGAATCCTCTAGCACAGGAGCCAGCGCCACGGCCACACTGCTGCAATATCAGTATAGTGGCAGACTGGCAGTGTCGCGGCTAGTAACCCAACTTCAGCCCAGTCACCGTCGGAATCGCGAGATCGCTCATAAATATGTTCAGATAAATCAATGAGCAAATAATCATAACACAACGGGTGTAGGATAATTCACGAATCATCTTGTGAATCCACTGAGTTAGCAAGGAAAAACACTTGAAAAGAAGGTACGCTTCAAAATCGTCATCCTTAAACTCGGTGATTTTTCCTGTCGTTGCCACCGTTTTGTCATATTTGTGCGTTGCATTTGAATCAGCATCTCAAGTTTCTACGAAAAACGTTATCAAAATCGTTAGCTCAGACCGTTGCCAAAGCCATGCATCTCGAAGGGGAGCGAGATATGGTACACATCGCAATCCAACTGCCGCCAATACTCATCACTCATACAACAGTCCGGTTTCCAGGCTCGCATAAAAGCAATGCGTCACAGGCTGCCTGTACCGTAAAGACATCTGGCATTCATTAGCCGGGCTGTCTTGCTTTTGAGTGGGTCAACCAAGCCGCGGCAGGTCAGAATAGAACGGAACCCTGGTACTTTGACCGAGTTTTCATATGGAACCCGTGACTCGTTACCGTGTTTTATTCATATTGAATACCGAATTGAATCGAAAATGGAATAGAATGCACAATCTTAGTCCCTCAATGAGGTGTTTGCAAATTTTACTAGTCTGAAAATCTGTGCAGCGTCCACTGTCCATGCTTACTGTTTTAGGGTTCACTCCCAGTGCCTTCATTTAATCACGACCAATTTTCTACGGCCGTGTGTCTTGAATCCAAACATTTACGGACAGATTGAGACTGTTTTGAGTGTTCAACCAGTGATTAACCGTCTGCTGCTTCTTGTAAAGGCATGTGGCGGCTTTGCTAGTCTAGCAAAATATCAGCATAAGCGGGCGAAAACACTTCTTCCCGGTGCCTACCATCATATACCAGCACATCGCCTCGTTTTCTTGAAAATATATTTAATTTCAAAAAAAAAAAATCGCAGCAAAAGGAATCATAAGAAACATCTTTCAAGTTCATCTAGCGCCGTTGAATGATCACGTAAGCTTGAGGAAGACGGGGTACCAAGAAACGGCGGAGAGGGACCAGGAAAAATACCCCTTGACCAGGGGCGTCGCCGACGGGGGGGTCGGGGGGGGGGGGGGGGTCGTGACCCCCCACTCTTGAAAACTGGGGGTGTCGACCCCCCACTTTTTGCGATGCTGAGTATGCTTTTTTAGCTTTTATGTCAGTGAAGCAGGCGTCAGCAACACCAACAAATACATCAGATTCAGAATCGCTTCAAGAGCTCCCTAAAGCCAATTAGCCAATTACCTAAAGTTCAATTAGCTGTGGGCGGGGAACACCAGCACAACAATAATTTTAAGTAGCCACCATTCTAGTACCTTTTTATCCCTCAAAGGATTGGACGCGCCAAAACTGCCCCGAGCCGTTCGTCTGATCGTTTAAAAAAAATGGTCGCAGTCGATTCGTCGGATCCGTACCTAACTACAAAACTACAAACTAGCCTCAGCCCCATGGCTACCGTCACAACTAGATGTACAGTGCACAGGTAGGGGAAAGGGAGTCAGATGAAACCGTCTCGGACTTTCGCAAAGAAGTCGCGCAAAAAGGAGCCGATTGCAACGAAACTTCCGGTGCGCTCGAGTTAATCACCTACTTAAAAATAAATCGATATCCCTGATTCAAATAAAGATGACCTTGGTTCACTTTTTCATAACATGCTTTTAATTTAGGTATAGAATAGTTTTTGGAGCTGACTTTGAACTTAGCGCCCATCTGAACATTTAAGAAGTAGCTGTGTTGCTTATGCATATAGCATGTTAGGAAGCAATCGGTGGTGGTCATCCACTATTAGGTACTGGTCGATCTGACCTGACCTGATCTACCCCAAATGCATGGAGTCATCATCTTCGTTCAAAACTAAGATAACATTCGTAATCAGAACCTCGAAAAACCATCACAACTTACATTCGCAAAGTTCTAGCAGGTCCCGAGTTTCCCTACTTATTGGCGATGACCTGAGTCCTGAGATGACCCGAAACCTTGTAAATGGGTATCATAGGCTTTCTCTCGTCACGGGCAGCATGCTCTTTTTTTCCGCAAACCTCTAGATCGATCAGGGGTCGAAAGCATACCTCAGCGCCCTCAGCGTTACTTTAGTATACGTTATACGTTAGCGACTGGGAACCCACCAATAGAAGGGCTACAGTGAAGCAGAAAACATATTCGATAGCTCTTTCAACGCTCTTTCGCTAGCTTCGCGTCAGATTTCATCTCAGGTCTATGTTTTGCCCATAGAAGGCAAACAGCTAACTGGACAGATTCTGCCGAAACATTTGCTTTGCAATAACTTTAGATTCCGTGAATTTGTATGGTATTTACATATGTTGTCTTGTCACCACCGTGTTTATCTCTTTGAGACGCGTCACATGAAATAAAATTTGACCATTCAGAATTAACGTTAAAACGACCTCAGGTCAACGTTATGTCCTGATCGAAAAAGGACCTCCTGCTGCATATGAATGGATCCGTGTTGTTGAGCTGAACAGTGAAGACCTTCCAGGTGCTGTCATCGCTCTACCGCGTCTTCGTCAAAAGTTGTAGAAAAAAAATGCTGGTGGCCATCGATGGACATTTCCACTAATGACCTTTCGAGTCATCACTCGCCATAAGTTGCACCCTGTCCCTGGAAATGATAAGCTGATTTGCCATGGCTCCAAAGATATTTTGCATTTCTGACGAACCAAAGCAGGAGGCATTCGTGCTTTTTCTAATTTCTCATTATTTTCTAAATGATGAGGTCACGTATTTGACCTGCCTCCAGATCATGATGTAAATCCTCAGAATCATGAATTGCTGACACGTATGTCGTATAACCCCATACATTAGGTATACAGTGTACCAAATTTCGAAGTTATGGGAGAAAAGCTACAAGAATGGCGAGAGGGGAAAGTTTGATAGAGGTATACCGTATAACTGAACTTGACATGGCGACCTGACCTTAAGTGACCAGTGATAATTTTTACGCTATACCAAATTTCGCGGCGCTGCGCGCCGATTTGTTACACGCGCACACACACACACACATACGCACGCACAAAACTGGGAAGTGCGGCAAAAAAAAACCTATCCATCGGGTGAAGACTAGAAACCTGACCCCCCCACTCAAAAATCCGTGGCGACGCCCCTGCCCTTGACACAAAGCCTTATCCTTGGGACAAACTGAGGATGGTCCACTCCGAGACCCGAAGGGTGAGGTGTGGCTGCGGTTCGCCATGATCAGTGGCCTTGATCGCCTCATCCCATTCGAGGGACCACTCACCGTTGATCAGTAGACGGCCGGCAGGGCGGGGTCGCTGCTGACAATCACTCCCATGGCGTGCCACGGGTCAATGCTGCCGTTCACGAGCATAACTCGACTGGTGGCCAGGTCACGGCCGCCGTATTTAGCGTTGGTGGCAGCCACAGCGGCGTCAACGGAACTCTGGTCGTATTTACCTGAGGCAGATAGGGAGAGGGAGTGGGTTAGTCGGGGAGGGGAGAGGAGCGAGAGAGAAGGGAGAGAAGAGAGAGAGAAGGGAGAGAAGCGAGGGAGAGGGAAGGGAGAGACCGGGGGCCGGGGTAGGCGAGTCAAAGAACATTATGGGCGATCGATGTCAATGGCTGTTTTATGTAATACGAGCATCTCAAATCGATGTGTACTCTGATGATGCCGCAAGGCGAAATATCAGTATTATTTTAATATATCCAATTTTGTGCATTAGTTGAAAATTAATATGAGCAAAGGCTACTACTTCTCGTATTACATAGTATATGTAACGATGCTTATCACAGCCATCCATTTCATTTGCTCAATGGTCGTTTACCCCTTCTCGTTATTTATGATAGGCGAGAGGATGAATTACGGCTTTTGATTTAAATTAATTAGCACGTCATGGTGGTATAACTCTCTGAAATAAATGCTCCATGTGAATGCCAAATATGCTTCTGGTACAGAACACGGGCAAAAAAACAAAAAGGCGCAGAAAACCAGTTGATATCATCATTGATCTGGTTTAAAAGTATAACATAAAATCTTTGGGTTTAACCCTCGCCGGACCTATTGGTTTTCTACATACGCGCCGGCCGAGGGGGGGGGGGCGGGTACGACCCCCCCCCTCGCCGTTTCGCCCCTGGTGGAGCTAGCGCGTCGCGGAAAAAACGAGCGTGTGCGCCGTTACGAGGCGCAGAGATTGGTACCCGATTTTAAGGTCCTAGGTCAACCGGTGACCTCTGAGGTCAGGTCAAGTGCCCCAGGGTACGGTTCAGTTTTTGGTGAATAACTTCGCAAAAAACGGCCGCAGAGCGCCGATTTTGGCAGCATCGTGTTCGCCTCGCTCAGGCGCGTCTAATGATATACTTTTTGTCCGGGTCAGGTCAACTTGGGGTGTTGACCTCAGGTCAAGGTCAGGTCAGCACCCCCAGGTCACGAACTTGGTCGAAAGAGGTCATGTCGCATATCATTCGATTCGGCAGGCCTTCCTGAGTCCATTGGTGCCTTTCCCGACTCGCTAGCTCAATTTGATCAAGAGTTATTGACGAAAAACTAACTTGACCTTGATGACGTCATAAATGACGTCACGCAAGGTCAACATTGCAAAAGTGACGCATCTAACCTTGCAAGGAGTGCATCAAATCACGATTCTGTGTGCTTGAGATAGTTGGAGATCGTTCCCGGCGCCAGAATAGCAGTTTGAATTTTTCCCCATTGACTTATAATGGTGAGGTCACGAAAATGACCTGACCTCATATGACCTTTAGGATAAATCCGAGATATACAAGTTGTGGGACTCATAATGGATACTAGATCCTGCAAGTTTCATTTCCCTGTGACATCTCCTCTGGCAGTGAGGGCGTTGCGAAGTTGCGACATCTGAAGACCGTGCAGAGGTTCACTTATGACGTCATAGGTCAGTGACCTGACCTGACCTAAAAATGCGGTTGGTGTCAAAAGATCCGGCTTGGATCAAAGGTCAGGTATGCCAAGTTTCAGCTCTCTATCGCCACCGTGTTCGGAGCTATCGCGAAAAAACCCTATGGGGGGGGGGCGGCACCCGCCCCCCCCTCGGCCGGCGAGGGTTAAAGTACAGAGACTTTTCAACAATGCAAAAGATCTAATGCGTGCATAGGAATTAAGTTGTTGGCTCCAGCCATACAAGGCCCGATCAATATTCTAAGAGGGTTTCAGTATAGTTGCAGCAAATAACGCCATCCCTTGTGAACGGACTGACGAGCAGCACTTTTACCGCACACGACAGAGCCACACCTGAACCACCCCACTAGATGGCAGCGTATACACCTCCGCGGTGAAGGCAGAGGGCAGCACCGGGTGGGCCCCTCGCCACACCACCCGGCACTGACCCAGGAAGTCTGTTTTGGCGAGCAGCGGCGCGCTGGTGGACACTGCGGGCGTGTACCATGTGCAGGTATTTCAGCCTGTACCAGGCGGTACCAGGGTGCCCGGGTACGAGCCGCCGAACGCCACCCATTTGGACTTTGGTGCCCTCGGGCAGCGCGTGCTTCTCGGTCATGGCAGCGGAGAATGAGGCGATGTCGGCCAGCTCCTGCTCCGAGCTCAGGTACTGCACGTTCTCCACGCTCATGTCACTGCAGGAGACGGTGGTGGATTGAAAGAGAGCGCCGATGTCGGAACATCATAAGCTTATGAACAGCCTAAATGACATATTCTGGATTCATATCGTGCGCAAGACTGTTTTGATATCAACGTTCGGGTAGCATCCTTCACCATTAATCGGCGGACAGGAAATTTTACTTTGAGATGGTTGAATGAGACATACGTGTTCTTTCACTGAAAAAAAAACCCGAAAAAAGTAACCTAACAATTGTGCAAGACGCCTATGAAAGAACCCTCTCTTCCTCATGCCTCCCTCCATCCCTCACCCCTCACCCCCCCCCCCCTCTCTCTCCCTCTCTCTCTCTCTCTCTCTCTCTCTCTCTCTCTCTCTCTCTCTCTCTCTCTCTCTCTCTCTCTCTCTCTCTCTCTCTCTCTCTCTCTCGCTCTCTCTCTCTCTCTCTCTCTCTCTCTCTCTCTCTCTCTCTCTCTCTCTCTCTCTCTCTCTCTCTCTCTCTCTCTCTCTCTCTCTCTCTCTCTCTCTCTCTCTCTCTCCATCCCCCTACCACTCACGCGGTGGGCCTGCTCTGGCCGTGGAAGCGGTGCCCCAGCTGGAAGCAGAGGGCTCCGTACTGCTGGACGTACTCGATCCAATGGCTAGCCACCATCCAGCTGGCCGTGGCGGGACCCTCTCCTCCGATCATCAGAAACACCAGGCTGATAGAATATGTCGTCCATCTGGTAACACTTTCGAACGGGATGGGGACGTTATTCATGGGTCAAGAAACGCCGAAATCATTTGTGTGTTACAAGAATAAAATGCATCATTATTTTTTCTTAAATAGCTAGATTATTTCGAAGGGAACTGTCATTGGAGTGGTTTGAACAGCAATAATACTCGTAATAATAAAAAAACGTGACGCTGAATAACAACATGTGAGAAAAAAAACGTAAAGAGGAAAGAAGGAAGATGCGAATAGGGCGAACTTTAGTAAATTGATCGGACTTTACAATATCGAGCTCGCATCTAACCAAGCATTCACCATTCGGGCGGACATTCACAATTCACAATGTGTCAATTTACCAAGACCAAGCTCGCATTGACGCACTCGACATCGTGCTCCATAGTCCATCCACTGCAATGGCCTCGGATATCGTCTCACCCGCTGCCGGGTGCGTTCGTCGCCCGGGTTGTTGTGATCCAGTTTCTGCGTGAACCACTGGTCAGGCGGCAGGACCATACCGGCGGCGTGGCCGTGGCGGCAGCACGGGACAACGACCGGCCCAGGCCCCGTTAGGGTCAGCAGGGTCACCAAAAGGGGCACCATGGCGGCCAGATGCGCTCTGAGGACAGACGTTGGTGGTGTGTTTTTACTTCCACATTCACATGGTTTGCAGATGATAAGATATTAGTTACTAGGTATCATTTGCGATCATCCAAGAACCCAGCAGACAACTAATTTGGTAAAAATATGAGGGGAAGTGAAATACAAAAAGATACTGAGCTTTTATAAATTTATGAAGTTATTCTGCTAATAACAATTCCAAATAAATTGCGAAATAACTTACTCCGTAACTATCTTTTCCCGTCGTCTCTTGAGAGTCATGAACTACAATGAATACCTTGTTTCGCATCTTGAATTGGTCTAAGATATCTGCTTCAAAAGGTCACCATCTGTCAAATAAGAAATAACGGTATTCCCGGGCAATTTCTGTATGAAAGTCGATCTTCCGGTCACACGGAGTTCCTCTCTCGAATCGGCATTGAGCTGGGAGGAGCAGCCACACTGACCTGAACGGCAGTAAAGAGAAGTCCCTCCTGGTGGGACGGATTGTCGGGCCAGGGAGTCGGCTGGGGGTCGCTCACTGTGTGGCCGGCCGCCACCGGTCCTCCGCCGTCCTCACATCTTCAGCCGGTGTCGATCCCACGGCTCACTGGGAGAGGGACCTGTTGTCGCCGCCGGTGACCAACGTGGCTATCGGCCCCGATTCCCGAGATTCGCAGGGAAGCGTCTGCCGCAATCGGTCCAAATCCACACGGACGCGTCTGCCGCAACCGGCCTAGATCCGCAGGGACGCGTTCGCGAGAGCTGAATTCATGGTACGCTGGCAGGACGTGACGGTACACTCGCAGCACGCGCAGGGCTTCGTGTCGGGCTTCGCGTCCCACTGGTTCACGTTGTGACTGTGCACCATTGGTCACTGGAAGTCTCATTAGTCTTTCCGGCGGTGGATGGCAGAAGGAGAGGGGCGGGGTGTCAATCAAAGACCGTCTTGGTGTCTCAGAGAGGCGCCGATGAATGGCCGAGGATATTTACGGTATGGTGGGTGTCGACATCTCCCCAGGCTCTTCCGATGTCCGTCCTTCCAGGTATCTGAAACATATGAGACAGAATCTTTAGCTGAAAATATTGGATCATTATAATACTTAGAAAAAGATGCATGGTCGCATATTGCGGCATCTCCAATGCAATTTTATTGTTATGCATGTCATTACATATATTTCAGGCTAGTATAACACGGATTCAAGCGCGTCGTGCCCTGATTTGTTCGTGGGAGGCACCGTGAGTAATTCACGTCGCACGTTTGTAAATGTACCTTTCGCTTTTAAACAGGGTTTCTTCTACTACAAACAATGTTTCTTTTCAGGAAAACTTCGGGAAGATCGACAAGTTTCATCACGGAAACATCATATCATTTGGATGTGATAGGATCAAACACCAATCTTAGTGTGTCTTTGAATTTTGCAGGCATATCAAAAGCGCTTCGATTTTTGCCCGTGCCCAGTGGCCACAATTACAGTATGTACATCGGGCTTGTCCTTACCTCAGACTAGACAAGCTCTCCCTTTCGTTGAGTTATGAACATTGCTACCGTTCCTTGGGACCGGTTTTTACCGCTCGACGCAGCCAGCCTTCGCCAACAGTTAAACCCCCGCCTTTCGGAACAGATCATTGTACGCGGCGGCACTATTGAGTGCCCGACTCCTGTGGCACTTTGTTTTCACCAGCCATGACCGGTACCGGCAGTTTTCCAGCCATTACTGCGAATTTTCCGAGCCTACCGACGGCGCGGTGGTCGGGACGGGACAGACAGGGTGGCATGTCCTCGCCGGAAGCACGGTAAGGTGCCGACAGACCCGAGAAGCCACCGCGCAATGCGACCCCGGCGGGGACCGAAGGAAGCTACTATAAGCTACTTTATAACTAAATGCTATATCCCTAGGTATGTCCGCATTTATTGATGTAAATTACATATATATGCGGGCAATAGCCATTAGGTATTTTGTATGTATTTATGTATTTATGTCTGTCTAAAGGTAGGTACGGACATCATACGCATGCAGGACTGGTCGCGATGATATCATTTTTGCTTTAACTGCAGTGTGTCGCTGATGAATGGAATGCACGCTGGGTTCGGAATTCAGCCTTCCCAAGCAGAGGCTAAGAGAGTCGCTGAATCGCTTTGAACCAAGGCGGCAAAGCATGTGGCAAAATGTGCAGACACGCGGTTTCAGCATACTTTTAGCATGTTTTTAGACACCAGGCTATAAACAACCGATATATGTAAGTCGTTTGTTAATTTTTTTTCAAGGCTTCTTTCTACCTGTGTTGCCAAGTTATTGGCAGCTGCATCCTCAGATTACCAATACCCAAAAGTCTCATCAATTTCAAAGAAGTCCCAAGCTGGAAAACAGACGATCTGGTAACATCATGAGTACCGTTCATGCCAAGAATCACAAACAATAGTATGGGTACATACAGTGGTGGAATGCACGGGCAAATCCAGCTGTGCTTTGGAGGGGGTGGGGGCAGCTCAAGGCCGATTGTTGTTGTCCAGCAACAAAAGTTGTTGAAGCGTGGAGGCTTAGCCATCTGGCGCTAGCTGGAATGTGTGAGCGATCGAAGACAGAAGCAGACAGTGTCGGTCAGCTGGATCGCTCCCGGAAAGTGCCGCCTGTGGGTCAGGGGGCGGCTTTGAGACCCGATTCTGCTGCGCATGACTGAGTTCCCAGGACGGAGAGCTTGCACATCTTTCCCCCGTGCACGCCCGCCGTTCTCGTCCTGTGACCGGCCGTCGAACCACAAAACTTTCCATGAATGAATTGTATTTGTGTGCTTGCCAATGGGTACGAAGGCATAGGTGAGCAATGACTTCATCAATCGATGAATAGACTTGTTCTGGCATTTGACATTGCGACCATGATTTCACCGTCCTGTTACAAATTCACAAACACTTTTTATCCACCTCCGTGAACTTAGAAAAGTCGGTTGCAATGAGTCACCCAGCGTGTGCGTACGTACGGCCCTCCAGCAAAAGAGTGGTTGGTTAGCCTATGTGCTTTTGGTGTAATAACTTTAAATGACTGAGACACTCCTGTGAAATGACTTAATAGATATGAGAAGAGGGTTCGTGCTAGTGGTGTCAATCGGAACTTGAATCTTCGGAATTCCGATTTTGTCCAATGTCCACTTCGGAATTCAGTTGGACAATGACAGCAGGCTTTGGACAACTTTGGACAATCGCTTGCTACACCTCAACATTTTTTTTTTTTTATAAAGTAATCTTGTTTAACCCGCGCCCTGCTGGGGGGGGGGGGGGGGTTTGAACACCCCCCTTGTGGACATTCGTTTTTTGTAACACCTTATCATACATCAATTCTACATATGTTGTGAAAATTTCAGACCAAGGTCATTTAAGGTCAGGTCACCAGGTCGCTTGAAGCGACCTCACCTCATAAAAAGTTTCAATGTCTGTCATAGCTCCACCGAGTGACCGATCGCTTTGAAACTTTCAGCGATTGCTAAGAGCAATAGCATGTACAAAATGTATATCTCAGAATTTTGATATCGATGACCTAAGGTCAGGTCAATTTTGCGACCTCCCCATTAGAAGTCAATGGGAGGAAATTGAAATGCGCCTCTTTTGGACGAAAGACATTATAAACACCCCCAAACACCGAATTACAAGTGGTTTAGACACACTGAACATGAAAATGGCGTCCGTGAACCTTGTTTATGCCCTGAGGTCATCTTAGGTCACGAATGGTATCTAACAGTTTTTCGCAAATAACTTTTGATAGAGACATGCTAGAGCGATGAAAACGCCTTAGATGTGTTCAGCTCGACGATACGGATCGACTGATATGCAACATGACCCTTTCCGGTCAGGTCATGACCTTGACCTGAGGTCAAATTTTCAAGTTGACCTTTCAAGGTCAAGTTATAGTTCATCCGATGCGTCTTGACGAGAGGAACACGATGCCGGTAAAAGTAAGCTCGTGCAGGGCTTGGGTCAAAAGTTATTGCAGAAAAACTTTCCGAAAAAATCGGCTATTTTTGCAGTTTTTGCCCCCTGCAGGCAAAACCGTTATAGTTAGGTCAAATCTGAGAAAGTTACTCAGAAAGGGCGTGAATAGGGCTATCGAATGCGCTTTTCCGCGGCGCTGTAGCTCTATTGGTTCCTGAGTTATGCGTTAGCTTCTTGGAAATTTTCGACATTCGACCTGGAAATCGGCGAAATTTTGCCTTCCATGACCTCTGGTGACCTGACCTTTGACCTGACCAAAAAATTGACCGAGGTGATTTCGTCATTATTTTTGACGCTCTTTCGAACGCCGCCTTCCGCGTATCGCTACGTGGCCCAGGAGCCGAGTTACAAGGGGGGGGGGGTGTTCAAACACCCCCCTAGCAGGGCGTGGAAATCCAGGACCCCCAGCCGGGCGCGGGTTAATTAACATTGATTGGCTATTAGAAAGCTGAAAGCTCAGCTTTCGATATAATTAACGCTTTTGAGCTGGTAACGAAACATTAAAGCAAATTAAATAACGGTGTTGAGTGTTAACTATTGCGTAGATGTCGGACATATTTGGACAGATGGCTGGCTTGGACATTTTTTGACGGACAGTCGACGTAACTATTGGACATTGGACGGACATTGGACATACGTTTTCTGAAATTGACACCAATAGCTCGTGCACACATTTCGGCAGTGGTTTTCAACAGCCATTAGACGTATTCATCAATGCAGATCGATTATTGTGATGTTGGCAACCAACCACTTAAAGTGACCATCCCACTTTAACATTAGCTTTGAGTTGAGATAGCCAAATTGGTGGCCATGGCCTGAAAATACCGGTTTGGGCACTCACAAGATCGAAAAATGCTTGAATTCGGAGATATGGAATTTCAAACTTGCAGTTTTCGGATTCTAAGGGGCTAATGCATTGGAATGCCCCCTTAGAATTTGTGACGTCCGCGGAGATCTAACAATTTTAAATGTTTTACTAAAACGTTTGGTAGCACGCGGCGGTATATGCTGTTTTGCGCGCAACAAGTGCCGCA